GTGCCCAGAGCCCACTTACCTTCACTGGTCTCAGCTTTGAGGATCTGCAGGTCGCAGTTGGCTGCCTTCAGCCTCTCACGGGCCATGATCTGGCGCTTGAGGTCACCCAGGGAGATGCTGTGGCCATGGAATGTGACAACATCATAGCTCAGCTTGGAGRAAAACTTGTAGTGGACACCYGACATGGCCCCGTGGTCCCAGCTGGGCCTCCGCTCCCCTGGCACACGTTGGGTCCCAGAGCAGACCTGGCTGGGGTGACTTGGGCACCTCTGCCTCGGTGCCCTGCCCAGGGGGATCCAGGACAAACCCGCATCGGCTGCCACGAGTGCTGACAGATTGCCAAGCACTGAGCACCCACCCCCTGCATTGTGACCTCGTGGTGTGGAGCCATGGAGCCATGGAATTCCCTAGAGCTCTTCTCCAAAGGACCATCTCAGCATTCCACATCCACCTGCCAAGAGAKGCTGCACTGGGACTGTTTGATGGAGAAGGAGCTCAAACAGTGCTCCGGGCAAACAACTGGGAGATGGAGCCAGCCACAGCTCTGGAAGCCCAAAGCAGCTGTTTCTATCCACTGTGTGAATAGTATGTGTTGTACAGAGTATTCCTTCCTGCCCAGATCACAAACCACTGGATTAAGACCAGTTCAGAGTCCCATTTTGGGGAGTTTGATGTTTTCCTTTGAGATTTTTGTTGGGTTGGTTGGTTTTTTTTCCCCTGCTAAGCAGACTAGCTCATTGTCCAAGAGTCAGAATGTTACAGGGATAGCAAAAACACTTGACAAAACTGAGTTTGGGAGTTTGCAGTTCTTCCACAATGTTGTGAGAACATCTATTATAAAAGGTCAAGAAATTCAGATCAAATAAAAGCATGCAAGTTTCAAATCGTAACTACTGGATTTTTGAAGGGAATTCTTCCTGTACAGAAGGTGCCTCTCTAGTAAGCACACAAGGGGACACACCTTTTTCTCTTTTATAATAGGTCCCAACCAACCGTTTTTCCTTCCCAGCATCATAACAAAATACAATTGCATGATTTTTTTCCTCTGATAGTTAAAATTGCAGCCAAGAGTACTTTGGGGCAGTACAGACCGTGCTGCCTCCTCTGCCTCAGCAGGTGTGTTTCTGTCTGGAGTTTAATGGCCTCACACCTCCTTTGGACTCTGGTACCGATTTCTCAAGGCCATAGACCAGGGCTGGTTTTCCATCTGCCAGTTTGCTCAGCAGTGCTGCACTGCTGCATGCTGGGGGCAGCCACGAAGGGCAGAGGCTTTGGGAAATCCCTTCCCAAGTCCAGCTGAAGCTCAGGAAGTTTTCTGCTAGTGGAGGTGCTGTGCCATCTACATCACCTGGCAAGGTTTCCAGCATTTCCTACATTCATCCCAGGGGAGCCAGGGAGAGAAGAGGCTTCTCCGGGGAATCTGCATGGCATTTTATTGTTTTTGTGGAGGAAGTTCTCTTTCACTGTGTCAGGAAAATTAATGTACAAGCASTAGAGGATTTTGTCTMAAAAGGAGACAGAGGAGTCTCGCAACTTTATTCGTGAATAAAGGGAGAGGTCATGGGCATTTCTCACGGGGGTGTCTCAAATTGTAAGAGGATGCAGCTTCTTTGATCCTAATTTTTCAGCTGCAGTTTTCTCTCTCTTTCCCCATTGGCTGAGTGAAACCCCGCCTTCTATCATACAATTCTCCYTTTCAATATACATCTCTGTGTCTCTGTTCTTACAGTCTATTAATATAGTCTGGGGTAAGTCAAACAGTGGAATTCTTAATGGAAATACTTCCTATTGATTCTTTYTATCTCCCAGTATCAGCCGTATTCTACCGTCAGAGTCAGAGTTAGTTTGTAAAGACACACCCTTCTCATTCCTTTTAACTGGTTCCACGCAAAAGAGCCTTCCCTCTAAGCTCTTGCCTTCAGCCTGTTAATGCTGGATATAGTTTACACTTTATCTTGATTTCTCGTCTGGTGGCTCCTTTTTTTTCCTGTCTCAGAGAGGACAGAGCCTTGTCTCACCAGCCTCTCTCTTGCCCAGGCTCCCTGATGCTCCTTAAGCTCCCTCCCCCTCCTGTGTCTCTGTCACCAGACTGAGCAGATCGTGCTCTGGGGCCAGGCCTTGAGGCTGCTGCTGCTCCCGAGGCGCCWGCGGGGCAGCTCTGAGGATCTGGGGCCGCTGTGGAACCAGGAGCAGCTCCGGCTGCGCTCAGGCCCTGGGCACTGCAGAGGCCGCGGCCCTGAGGGGCTGGGAAGCCACGGGGCAGATCCCGATCCCGATCCCGATCCCGATCCCGATCCCGATCCCGATCCCGATCCCGATCCCGACGGTGCCTGCCCAGCTGGCACTGCTGGCGCTGCTGCTCTCGGCTGAAACTCTCACAGGCAGCCCTGCCCTGGTGCCGACTCGGGAGCTGCTTGGAGCCCTGCCCGAGGGTGGGCCCCGACCCCCAGCCCCCAAGTGCACTTGTCCTTTAATCTCTGCATTGGGACATTCCAAGCTCATTTCTCAGCTTCCTCCTCCTCCTCCTTTCTCGAGGGGCAGCATTAGGGCTGGCCCAGCGGCTTTCCTCCCTCAGGATCCCTCTGCAGCACTGCTTTCCAGCCGGGCACCCGCGGCGTGTCCCGCAGCCTGGGGCTGATCCCCACCAAGGACAGGACTCTGCCTCTCCCGTGAGGAAGTTCCATCTCCCCATTTCTCTCGGCTGCTGGGGTCCCTCTGGCTGCAGCCTTATCCTACAATGTTTCAGCTGCTCCCCCTAACTGTTTCCCTGTGTGAACAGGTGGAACCTCAAGGGAGAAGGGCACACAGACCCCCTGAGCTCCTTTTGTTGTTCAGCCCCATTGGGAAACAACTTCAGGCTCAGCCACTCTATGTCCTTCCCTGGGATGGAGGTGAAGACTCTGTATTGCAGCTCCCCATTCCTGCTCCCCCTCACTGTTCCTGGGCCTGGAAGTGCTGTATGCTGGCATGAGAATACTTTTGAGAAGGAAATTAGCAGTTTTGACACGGACTTTGGTTCAGCAGCAAAGGGAYGGGGAGCAAGCAGCCTTGCCAGGGYGGSAGCACATTCTCAGTGCTGATTTCCATCCTGGAGGTGCCTAGCTGCGATGCACCAACAAGCCAGGTCCCTGGAATTGGGGCTGCAGCAGGGAGGGGGACACAGGCAGCCCCTGCAAAAGTTAAATTGGACCTTTAGTGGCTCATGGRTCTCCCAGCACCAAGCAGAGACCGGGATCATGCTCCCCCCATGCCGACTCCCAACCCCAGAACTGGGAAAGGAGGGAGCAGCAACTGCCTCCAAAAGCCAAGGCAGGAACATAACGCCTTTATCAGCTCCTTGCCCCACACTGGCACTGGGCTGAGCCCCATGGATTTTCTGTGGCAAGAAATTCCTCCCAAGCACAGTTCAAACGAATTATTCTCCTTCCATCTGCTGGAGTACAGCAAAGCCCACAGCAGCAGCTGATGCCATCAACACTGCTCCAGAAATAAGCCATGTGGTGACCCAGGCACCCACTGATCTTGCCTTCCTGTTTCAGGAGACCCTAAGACCTCGCACTACACAGGGTCAGGGAGCTGCTGCGGACACAGAGTGTCTTACCCACATTGAAAAAAGAAAATAAGGGGACACTAGGGATATCTGCACAGACTCTGTTAACAGCTCTGGGATTAGAGTGCATGGACAGTTTTCATGCTGTTGTCATTAGGCACCTGTAATTTTCCTGAGGCCTTGCTTTGGAACAAAACTACCACCTGCAAACCTYGGCTGCTCTTGGAAATAATTTAGAAACTTTCAAGTAATCTTGGTAGTGGAAAATTTTAAATCCATGAAAAGAAGGACCCAGGAAGCAAGGGAAAAAATCATTCCAGTTTTTCCCTATCTCTTAAGCAGCTAGCAATACTTTGTATAAAGGATTGATAGCCCCTGGACGCAAGAAAACACAGCAGGAGGAGATGGATGTTCCCTTGCTACATGGGCAGTGCTGAGCCAGGGCACAGGCAGTCAAGGCAATTCCCAACTAAGATGTTGTTCCATGAAAAAGCATGAAGCCCTGGCATAAATCCCTCCAGTCCTGTCTCATGGGTGACAGCATAACCCCATGATGCTCCATATGGTGGGAACACAGGGAGRAGAGGGGCAGGGGCATGGCAGCTCCTCCTGGACTGATCCACTGCAATCCCCATTTCACTGTGCTCTGAAGGTCTGTGGTGGATGAACTGGAAGGAATGAGGATGATCCAATCCATGCAGAATGAAGGTGGCATTGCTCAAAAAAGTATGGATCAGTGCTGAGGTGCAGGGAGGTGGGTCTGGCACAGCACCCTGCAACACTGCTCACCTCAGGGCACTGTGGATATGTCAGCGAGGGACTGGGGAGACAATTAGAGGGAAAATAATCATGGATTAAGAAATAGCACAATCACTCTGAGGCTTGGGAGATACCCAACAGCAGGAGCTGCCCCAGGCAGGAGATGGTGCTGGGCCTGGCTGCCCYCACCTCTGGCATGGGGTGCAGAAGAGTAAATGTCACTGTGCTCCACCTCAGCTCATCCCCAGGGCAGCTCTGCAGCCTCCCAGCCACTCACAGAGCCCAAATACAGATGGCTCAAGGTCACTGCTGGGGCTCAGGGCAGGGGGAACTGTGCCACAGCCCYGTGCCCCCAGCTCCTTCAGCTCATGACAGTTTGTGCACTGCAGAACACCCTGAACATGCCCCGGCAGCCCCAGGATGCCCAACTTCAGCCACAGAGTTTATTGTTTAGTAGGCGCTCATCACACCAGCAAGCCAGGACAGGGGRATGGTACATGAATACAGATGTGGAGGAGTTACACAGACAGATTTGTACAGCTTTTGTACAGAGGAAGAAAACGAATCAAATAACAAAATAGACATTAGCAGTCAAACCCTTTTTTTTTTGTCTTTTTTTTTTTATATCATACTAACAAAATCTGATAGCCAAAAAATGACTAAGCTACAAAATTGTAATACATACTGTATGGGTAAAAGGTTATCATCCATTTATACATCTAGTACTGTCTTTTTTCTGGCAACTTACATGAGGCCTATAGGATCTTAGTGTATTAATAACTCCCTACAGATAGTGCTGAGCTGCTAAAGCTGCCAAATAACGGAGTACTGGAATTTTTGTTAAGACTTGTACAGTGTCATTTGCATCATTTTGTTTAATGAAACCCTCATGCATCTCTACTGCAAGCCAGAGGAGCTGCTTGTGTCTGGGGGAAGGCAGGAGCTGTAAAGCCTTGGCTGGCAGCTTGGCACCCATCATTCTAAGAGCTGTAACACCCAGGCAGCTTGGTACCATCATTCCAYAGGATATCAGCATGGTGCTGCCCCTTGCTCCAGCTCTCTGGATGCTGCAGGAGGGATAAAGCTGACATTCCAAAGCAAGACTAATTCTTTTCCCTTTGGTCTTGAGAGTTAGGGAAGAAATCACTCAGTACTGAGTAAAATCCATTCCAAAGGCTTTTTTGTTTTTTTTTTTTTTCACTGGATAAGAGCTCAGCTCTCAGCAGAAAAGCATCACTGTCAGGGTAATGCCACTTGGCTGTGGGGGCTGCTCCCACAGCTGGGGTGCTGGTCCTGCCCTCAGAGCCCAGGGCTCCAGCAGCACGTCACCTCCTGCTCCCCACCCTCCACCRATGCTCTGGGGCACAATGCTCAGGACCCAGCTCCAGATGGAAACCATCATGGCATTCCCAGGCTGGGAGAAAGGCTGAGGAGAGCAAAGCCCTCCTTTACCAGCTCTTGGGGATTGAGATAAAAGCAAGGCTGAAGCTGAAGGGGGAGTGAAGGCACAAACAGGAACCAGCCCGGAACGACAACAGGACAAGGGTTTATCAGCGCTCCAGTACCCCTGGAAATCTCTCCCAAAGAACCAAGCCAGTAAGACCAAGTACTCTATACACCACCACATAGGCAAAAATAGCACTTAAACTTACAAATAAATAGAGGGGCTGGGGAATCTCCTCCTTGTCCTTTCCAAGTTTATCCCTAGTATGGTCTCTTACCACCTCAGAAGGGCAGCCAGAGGCTAGTGCCCTGGGAAAGCCTGTGCTAATTTTGGAGAGGGAGAAGGTGAGTGAGTCCAACCCTCCTTACACAGGGTTGAGCTGAAGCCCAGATGAGCATGTGACAGCATATCCTGTTGGCATTGTGATTGGTCTTATTTGGGAGCAGCTCCCATGGACCTGCACCCTCAGCCCTGCAACACAGTGACTACACAGCCTGCACAGAGAGCCAAGCAGTGCCATCAGCTCCTGGCTGATCCTCAGGGACCAGCACAGCCATTTACAGTCAGAGAAGATCATCAACACTAACWTTGAACCTGCTCTGACCCATCTGCTCCTGTTCTGCATTGTCTCCCAAGCTGAAGGGGAAAAGCCACAGGTCTGAGCTGCTCCCAGGGGATGGTCCCTGGGAAGAGGCAGGAGCCAAAGACTCTTCCAGTCTGACAGCTTTGGATCTGATTAACAGAACCAAACACATGGTCCCCATAACCATTCCCAGGGGATCCCACACTGTACAGAGCCAAAGGGAAGTGGAAAATGCAAGTACTTCTGCTCTGTAGGCGAAGGCAGCTGGTCACAAGTCACTAGAAGACCCGTAAGGGAAATTAAGTTACAAACCAGAATGGGGCCTCCCTCCTGTAGGTGCCCAGGAAGCCCTGGAAAGTCCATGAGATCTGCAGATGTGACTTCAGAGACCATCCAGCCAACACAAGCATTTTGGGAAACATCAGGRCTAAAGTCTTAGAAACAGCAGTGAGGTATTCAATGTTGAGGGCTGTAACAAACAAGCACTCCCTCTGGGACTTTCCAAAATCACTTAGTAGATAAATACTCAACCAGGAGGGTTGTGGGGACCACTCCTACAATACCTTGGGAAACTCCCAGAGCTACGCAGAGATGTGGCAATCTTCCTGGTGATTAGTAGGAGTTGAAGAAACACTTATAAAAGGCAGGATGGAATCCTATGTGAATTATTTCCAGCCAGCTTGATCCTAGGCTCTACCTCCTGGTACCATGTGCCAGATTTCTGCTGTGATTTCTGATCTGCTTTACTTCCCTGAAGTTCCCTTCCTCTCCCATCCATCCTCATCTGAGGAACAGGAGATCACCAACCCTGTGTCAGGTGAGAAGTATTCAGTGTCATTCTCCTCATGGCAAAATTGCAGTCCTGAAGCTCAAGTCTTTCCCAGGCTGCTTCTGGCTGCCCATCCTTCAAGGAGGCAGGAGTATGGCAATCCACAAAGAAAAACTGATACAACTTTGTGGGAAATCAGGGCAAAAGCAACAGAGCTGATGGACCATCATGTTCACCTGCTGAGGGTCTGGCTCAGATCTCCTCTCYCATCTTGTCCTTTCACAGATGCCCCATCACATCACAGGAGCTTATGAAGACTGGAAGGAGTTGGGCGCTGGGAGAAGGGTGGAAAAATATTGCTGTGACTGTTCCTGTGGTACTGAACAGTAAACCAGAACTGGGMTCTTTCATACCTTTGAGAGCATGCTGTCCCCTTCCTCTGCCCCAATATCCCTTGAGAGTTATGGTGGAAAGTTAGAGTAAAGCTTWGGGAAGAAGAAACAAGATCCACTGCTGGTAAGGACAAAAGAGCTGTGTGGACTCCAGTCTTGGATTGCCTCTGCTCCAAATACTCACACTCAGGTCATGCACAGAGGATTGCTGAAACCATCAAAGTCAGGCACACAGCAGCACCTTCACCTCATCCTCCCTGGTATCACAGGATGGGCAGCACACTGAAGAGCCAAGAGCTCTGGAAAGCACCAGGCAATCTCTAGTTAGCTGTTAAAATAAACACGCAAGGAGAGAACCATTCTCTCAAAGTCCCACACTGACTGCCCCAAGTGTGAAGTGCCAAGGTCAGCAACACTGAGATCCAGCATCTGTGGAGTCCTGAGTTCAAAACGGACCCAGTGAACCCCCCAGGAGTGAGTGGGACCAAACTGGACAGCTGGCTATGGCACAGGACACCACCAGACCTGCTCAGAGATCTCACTGCAGGAAGAAAGGCCAACCATACCCAAGTGAGGTGTGCCTGACGCCAAACTCAGAGCCACCACAGCTTCTTCCCTAAACAGCAGGGGTGAAGAAACAAAATAAATATCCCTCTGAAACTGGATTATTTCCCATGACATGCTATAATACAAGAATTAAGTGCAGCCTCTGCGTTAAAACAGTGATGTCTTCAGCAAAGGGAGGAGGGGATCCCTTTGCAGCTCCTGCAGGGTTACTGGGACCAGCTGACACTTCAGCCACAGGTGGGGGCAGCTGTCATCCAGACCATGTCAGCTGGTGGGACAAGGGCAGCTCAAACAATACAAATTCCACAATCAAAACCAATACAAATAAGAAACCAAACCCAGAGAGATCTTTCTGCTCCCTCCTAGAACAATGGCTGTCTTGGAAAACTGGACTCTGGTATTGTCCTGATTACATCAGTTAGTACATTATAAACATTGTTCTGCTTTATAGTGAAAATACTGTGTGCAGTCTTTTGGAGGTGCTAAAGCCAGATGTGGTGTTGTTTTTTCTGACTGTGCAGAGGAGCTGATACTGGTGTGAAATGATCCTCTTCACCTCTTCTCTATCAGATCTTCTCCTAGAAGAAAACAGATCTTGTTAGGCAAAATGAAGACAAGCACAGGGATTTTGTTTTGGAAGAGGCATGGAGTGGGATGCCCACTCCATGCTTTGCCCAGTATGAGTAGATGAAGTCTCAGGATACAGGTCTTGCCCCACATAATGAAAACTGTGGGAGGCCAAGACAGCATGTCTCACAAATGCCATTCMTGTAAAGGGGACAGCAGAGATCTGAAAACTGAGGAGGTTCTAGCAAAGACTGCCAGGAGAAGAGTCACACAGCACTGACCCARGAGACTGCAGGGAAACTCCCTTCATATTGCACCTCGGTGTGCCCCTCACCACACCTTCCCCATGGCTCCAAGGGGTTTCTGGTGAGGTTCCCACCACACCCGGGAACTGGGGTTGTGCAAAGCCTCTTGCTCTTGCCTGTGGGAATGATACACTCAAGCTTTGCTRGCAGAACTACCCCCATCCAAGTGCTGACCCCAGCATGGCCCGCAAGAAACCACACAAAGCAGTTACTGTTTTAAAAAACATTCTGCTCATAACTTACCTCTTGYTTGTGGGATTTATCCTGCTGGTGAATCCCATTAGCAGACCCAGAATTTCCAACAGTCTGCAATGGAGAACAGACAACACTTACTGAAGAGGGACACAGATCCTGGTGGTTTTGCTTACAAGCACTGAAATCTGGCAAGACTGCCATGGCCTTCCTTAGCTGCCCACTCCACACAAGGAAATGATGATGCAAAAATCCCACCCCACTTCTGGCAAGAAGCTTCCTGCCCTCTGCACCCTGGCTCACTCCCCACATGCCAGATTGCATCCCTCCCAGCTACCAAACATCCCCCAAGCTCCTTATGGACACAGACCCACTATTCATTCCAACTCTTAAATACCAAAAAACAAACCTTTAACCAAGGGCAGGGCAGTGTTAGCTGCAAAACATGGCACACTGAACATCCAACACTGAAAAGGATTTTTGCCGTTCCCCATTTCCCATCTCCAGGGACAAGTCTGACAACCAGGACAGGCTGTTCTATCTTTAGAAAGCACAAGAACTTTTCAACATTTATAATGTTTCTTAGGCAGACTAGTATGAAGCCCTTCAGCTTCAAAATTATACTATAACCAGCACAAAAAAGAGAAGAAAGCAGCAGTCTGAAACCCGAGCATTCCCAGTGCTGGGTGCTTGSGCCTTGGCAATAAGAGTCACATTTGCTGGTGAACTGCTGATGGCATTATGGGGAGACAAGACTGCAGGGTTTAAGAGTCCCAATTTCCATCCTCACTAGGACCACAAAGGTGCAGAATCAACCCTACAGGACAGAGGTTTAATTTGAGCAGGAAAACCAGGCAGAAATTCAAACCAAACTCTGATGAGAGCCTGACCTGTTTGCCAGACAGTGGACCCTACCTGAATGGCAAGAATAGTGCTGCTGCCAGGGCTCAGCCTTGGCGTCTGCAACTCCCACCACAGGTGATTCCCTACCTGCAGCTCACCCAATCTGGGCACAGATATCAGAAGCAGACAGCAGATATCAGAAATTAGGCTTAAAGTTTGGTCTAGGAACATGGTCACATAATGAACAAAGTGATGAAATTTGTTTGAAATGAAATAAAAAGGGTCCCAGGRGACTCACTAAAACTCTTCAAGAAAAAGTCCAAGTGCCAAATCCYTGTTATTTTCTGCAAAACTGTGGGTCAGGGGTCTCCTAACACGAGAAGATGGTGAAGATTTTCTTTCTGCCAAGGCAGATTCCTGGGCAACAGCTGCTTYGATCAGAGAGGAGACATGAGGTTGGAAGGTGGTGCAGAATGCATTACAGTGAACATRTGACTTCTGGGGAAGAACCATCAATTCCTTAACTATTGCAGCAGGATCTGGACCAGCAATGTCCTCAGGCTCAGCCTGAAAGGTCCTGGTTAACAATTCCCCTTCATAAGGGCAAGGGTGAACAGATATCAAACCGAAACTGCAGAACTTCGATCCAGACTTCCCTGTAAATAGGCACTTTAAAAACCTGAATCAACAGAAATTTGAAGCCTGGCTTCCCACAGTAACCCTTTGCTTCTTTGCACCTTTTATTGTAGTTGAAGACATAATGCTATTCTGTCATATCTCTACATTTTCTTAAACATGAAAATATCAAACTAATACCRGGGATATGTTAGCTGACCTCAAAGGTCTGTTCCAACTCACTTCATGTAAGATTAGTAATCTATAATTGGAGAAGAAATAATTACCACCTGCGCAACTTCAGGAGATGGGAATACAAAAGARAAGATTTCCCTTTCTTAAGAGACTGTGCATTAAAACAAACAGAATAATAATCCCACCCGTCCTGTAGCTGCCAAAAGATGAAGGCTGTCATGATAYATTTGCATTTGACACACAGCAATTACAGGAAAGTCACTCTGGAGGTACTGACAGGATTATGATACATCCTGGACTGCCACAAACATGTCATCATGACTCCAGCTGTCCTGCCTGGTGCTGGCAGATGCTGCACTRCAGGATATAGAGACTTGTCTGCAGCACACAGATGTTCAGTGAGCCAGCAAATCTTTCAGGGTTGCAGGTTTTACCTTGCACCCTTCTTCTGACCACCTCCCTGCCCATACCACTGCAATGCAAACAGCGTTTGGTGTATCCAAAGGAGACTGCCATGGGAGAAGAAGGCTTGAAACCTCCCCAATTACCTAACACAGCTTATCTGCACCTGCATCAGTGAAAACAAGCTCTCTGCCCATTGTGTGTCTAGTAGCTTGTTCTGTACTACCCTAAGGTGTCTGCTTGAATGCCAGTTRTAACTCATTACTGCAAGAGAAAGACATTTTTCAGCTAAGAATTTAAATGAGCAAGTACAAGCAAARTACTGGTGCATTTGAGCTTCAAAATCCATAGCCTAGTTGCAGACACAAGAGAAAATACAGCTAGAAGAACATTCAAGGACATGAAGCACAAAGCTTGGCACAAGCGGCAGATCCCTTTTGCAGGAGGAATCAGACAGGGCTGAGACTCCACAGGTATGAGATGGAAAAGCCAAATGTTGAGAGTCAAGCTATTTGCACGCTTCAGTTTCATAAAGAAGGATCTAAGACAGGCAACAGAAGCAGCTTTTCTTTMGTCAGAAGAAATAAAAGGAGATCAGAGAAAGTTGGGGACAGAAGACAGAAACTGGAGTGGGAATAGTCCATCAGCAAACTCACATTAGGCACCAAGGTGGTAAGAGAACTWGTTAGAGATATGGAAAACATTTTCCCAGAGTCACCTGCAAAGTTTCTGCWTATGGACTGCATACCCATAAACCTCTCAAAGAAGAGGGATGTCAAAAAAATCTCAACTTCCATGTTATGAACATGTGCAGACTGACAATACTGTACACATAAGGAGCAGTTGTAGTGCAACTTCCCCAAAACCCCACATTTAGCAACCATACTCTGGAGCACAAAGGAATCTGTGATTACCAGCTAGCAGGGATTTTACAGCATCAGGCTACATCTGACAGAAAAAGGCCATGTCAGCTTGTTCCCACCAAAGAGGGGACCCAGCTGATGGCATCACCCCCAGAACATAGGGTAAGATCCCAGGAGATTGATGAGGGCTAAGCAACCATGTTTGCTGATGTTCTACCTGTGTTTTCTCAGAGGAGAGTCTCATGGCTTCCATGAGCTTCTCCATCTGGTGTCCCTGCTCCAGCGCGTTGCGCAGCACATCCTCCGTGCTGACCAGCCGGTGCTGCAGCCGGATCACTTCCGACTCCGATGAGGGGTCGATCAGGGAGTATCGCCGCTGGTCTGTCACTGACTTTTCCTTGTCCTTAAGACAGCAAAGGGAAAATAGGAGCATATTACATCAAAACCAATAGCTGCAGAAACTCAAGATACAAATCCACATGACTCCTAGAACCGCTTTGTGATTTCAGCAGCAGATGGGGACAGAGCACAGCTTGCACCAAGTGTGACCAGCAGCTGCTCCAGTTTGTTCCCAGCAATTCAAATCAATTGTTCTCATTTCAACCACTGGAGGACGCTGAAGTACGCGGGAATTAGAGGACACTGCTTATTCTTGGCTCAGACRATGTGTAAAATGCGTCGGGTAGCTGAATGACCTTCAGTTTCTCCCCCAAATTGTAGCCCTGTTTAGCCATGGATCTAAAACCTATGGGAACAGAAAAACCCTGGAGAAGGACATAGCAGTCTGCAACTTCCTCACAAGGGCAAGYAGAGGCACACTGATCTCTGCTCTCTCAGGACCAGGGAATGACTGGAGCCATTCCTAAACCCCCAGTGGGGAGGTTTAGGYTGGATATCAGGAAAAAGTTCTTCCCCCAGAAGGSTAGTGGRGCACTGAACAGGCTCTCCAGGGAATGGTCACAGCCCCAAASCTGCCAGAACTACAGGAGCATTTGGATAATGCTCCMATGCACATGTGATYGTTGGGGTGTCCTGTGCAGGGCCAGGACWTGTATYTGATGATCCTTGTGGCCYTTCCAACTTGGKMTATTYTCTGATTATATGACATATGGACATCTTTGCTAAATGAGGTGCTGCTAAGCCAGGCCACAGTTCACAGTCGTTGTCAAGAGAACTCCCATCAGATGCTCAGCAGTACAAAAGAAAACACGAAGACCTGGAGTAAGAGTGAAGGGCTCAGACTCTCTCCCCACCCCCCTCAGCAGTACAGAGCCTTCCAGCCTCCAGGTCATGCCCAGGAGGAGTTTTAGTGCCCTCACCAGCACAACCAGTTTCTCTCGCAGCCCCTTGATGTCATCTTTGAGCTTCTGTTCCTTCAGCCGCCACTCAGCTTTGTGCACTTCACGGCTGAGGTCCCGCTCTGGCCCTGGCGAGTGCCGGTTTGCCTCCARTAACAACGCTCTCAGCTCGTTCAGGCTCCTAGAAGCAGCAGCAGGACAAGATGAAGACATTTCCAGAGCCCACACACCACTGGAGTCCTGCTGTGCTCCCTCCCACCTTTGCTACAGRTCCAAAGAAAGGCCAGTGAGCAAATCTGACTCAACTCCCACTACTATCTTGTCCCAGTTTGCCAGCTCTGAGGCTGGGACCTGCACAGGGCACTGCTTGGAGCAGGGCAGCAGCCAGCTTGGCTGGCCTGTGGATGAGTTCATTCAGCATCTACACGGGTACTGATTGAGCTGTATTGCAGCTCCTGGCAAGCAGTGAAAGGGCAGTTGCTTGAGAATTCACAGCCTCTAACTCTAATGGAATTCACACATCAGCATCTCTAAAGAACAGGAAAGCTGTGGGCTGGATTTCAACAATGAAACCCTACATTTCTTCTGGTGATTACAACACCCAGAAGGATCATGAATACACACATAGCCCCTCTATCTCCAGACCTGCACACCCACCTTTCCTTCTTSAGCAGTTCCTGGCTAATCAGAACCAGTTGCCCTGAGGCATCGTGTGTTTTCTTGGTCAAGGCTTCCAGTTCCCCTTCCAGCCTCTTCTTTTCTTTGAACACTGAATCAGCCTTCTTTTCTGCTGTTTTGCATTTATTTTCCAAAGCTATRAGAAGCAGAGAATTCAGGGGAAGAAAGGTCACTTAGTCCTTTACTTACATTCTTGCTTTTTGCCTTTTCCCAGTTTCTACTCCTGAAAGCACAGACCTGGTTAGCTCTTGAGCTGGCCATAGTTAAGGGGAGAGCTTGAAACAACATGCCCAGTTCCACTGACTTCTGCCTCATTAGCTTTACCCATAAACTAACTCAAACCCTCCTTCATAGGATACAAGTATCTTTTGCAGTTTGTGTTCAACTTCTGAATTAATTTTTAATTAATATCCACAAAAAATATCCAGCAATATCCACTAAAAAACAGCAGCAGTATGTTTTAGCAGCAGCATGTCTTACRTCAGCCTATTTCAGCTCTGGGCTCTTGTTCAACACCAGAGCATAGCATTAGCAGGGAAACACTTCATTCCCACCAACACTGGATCAGGGAAACTTACCACTTACTTGGGCCCTTAGAGTTTCAATCTGGGTCACCAGGGATGACACCTCTTTGTCTCTTTTACTCAGCTTGTCTTGGAGGTCTGTGAGGGAATGAAAAGACAAAAATTAGAGGGTTGGAAAATGCTTTGTGCAAATTGGGAAGGTGTCAGGTGCACAGTGTGAGTCAGAGTGCACCAGGCACCATGGTGGTACACTCCTGTTGGCAGAGAAGCAGCATGAGACACTGCATCTCACCACACTGGGGAATTGTATCAGACAGGGTTAAGAAAGCAACCACAAAAGAGGAAGGGAAAAATTAATAAGAAAAAAACCCAAAGGAGCTTTTAGCACATTTCTTTGACAACTCCTACAGTGGAAGRCAGAAACTGTTTCAAAAGACGTGTTTTCTGGAGCTGATGTATCTCCACGCTCAAGAGCTGTCGATCTGAAGTGTGATGCTTTGGTGGCTCAAATCTGACCTGGTTGTTTTCAGTACCKCTTTCTGGGGTTTATTCAGTGTGGAAACAATACACATATGGACTGAGTGGCCATTTGGAGCAGTGGCTGCTGGATCTAGTTAARCTCTGCCATTACTAGGCAGGAATTACCAGTCAATCAGCAAACAATTTGGTGTAGAAACATAGAATRGTTTGGGTTGGAAGGAAGCTTAAAGATCATCTTGTTTCATCCCACTGCTTTGGGCAGGGACACCTTCCACTAGCCCAGGTTGCTCCAAGCCYTGTCCAACCTGGCCTTGGACATTCCCAGGGATGAAGTACAACATGAATGTGTTCTACATAATCCCATACCTGCAAAGACAGACAAGGCTTATGGACAATGCCTGGCCTGCACTCAGGGCAACAGAAATATGACAAAACACCTCTGAATCCAGCTCTGCTATTGCTCAGACTCAATGTTACAGCTCATCCTCTGTGAGGGGGGTGAGTGCAGTTCAGGTTGAAACATACTTTTGTCAAAATACTTCATGCCTCAAACATTGATACGAAGTTTTGCTCATTATAACAAAAACCGTATAAAGAAGCTACAGCCAGAGAAACCTCCCYGAAGATACCTGATTGGGACTTTGGACTGTAAATTAAGCTGTTGAGATAAGTCACTATTGTTCAATCAGGCCTGGGGAGAAACAAACAAGGCTGAGGGAAAGGAATGGGTGACTCAGCAGAGATTCTTCCCTGGCTAGATTTGGGGTGGGGGAAACCATAGCCCACAAAAGCCAGGTTTATACAGATTGCCCCTCTCCCTGAAATAGAAGGCCTGAGCATATATTAACCCATGGGATTCTATACTTTTTGGGGGGGACCATCATCACCAAGAAGAGCAGCTGGAGARGATCAACGCAACATTGCTGGGATCCAAGGATGCTGATATTTTCTTTATTCTGTCTCTGTCACACTCCTTCTGTCCCCCCCACTTYGTTTCCCACTCTCCCTTTCTCTTCCTCTCTCTCTCTCTGTCTCTTTCTCTCTCTCTCTCTTATATTTGCTATCAAATAAAACCCAAACTATTGATTGTCATATGGTTTTGTTTGCACCTTAATTCAGRCAAAGGTATTTCTAAGAATCTTTAATAATCGGATCATGACAACTTTATAGAAGCTTAATGAATGCATAAGATTCACATTTTGTTAAAGTGATAGATCTGATTAATAGTGAGCTTAATAAAAAGTACCCCTCATTATTTGAAGCTAGTGATATTAATATATCTACCATTATCACTCCTCTCCTGTGAACATTTAATATCTGAATTTTACCTGTTGTAAAAATCAGTGATGGGATGGAAATGCACCTATTTCCTCAAATCTGTCTCCAACCTGCACCATCTGCATGGAGAGTGTCTAACACAGGTAAAAAAACATCYACCCCTGCATATGCTCAGCTTGATTAGAAGGAAAAACCAAAGCRAGACAACAAATGTCATCCAGCAAAWTTTGACAGATGGAACAACTTCCTAAACCCCTTCCATGCAGCCATCCCTGCAAGAGCAGAAAATTAGAGGAAGTACACAGGTCACTAGAACAGTGACTTAATGTCTTAATGTATGTGTCTTCAACACTAGAACAATAGCTTCATACCTTCCATAGTCTCCTTCATCTTTATCTTTTCTTCTGAAATATCGTTAGTCTCAATCACCTGAAATAAATGTAAAATATGAGATATAAACCAACCCWTTACCTAAAGATTCAAAGCAAAATTAACAACGACAAAGTCCCATCCAAAGCAGAAGGTGTCCAATGTCCAAGTTAGGATGTTTTATATCATTCCCAAGAGGGACATAAAGGCTTTTTTGAAGAGCAACTTGTCCAGCTGGGCACTACTGAGGCTGAGCAGAGTGCCCACATACAATCCCCAACTGAGCACAACAGTGGGATTCTCTGGGAAGGAACAGAGCTCGAGTTTTTCCCCACAAATTCTGGTTCTAGCTCTGCACACTCAGAGTTTGTGCAGAGGGATGAAAGAGCTGCTGTCCCTCGGACCAGGCAYCTCTGGTCAATCATAGCAAATATCCAAGTGCAAATGGTCTCCAGCATGCAGCTTGAGACCTACCAGTCAATGAATTCCTCAACTTCTGTMGAACTTAACTGTGCCCAAAGTTATAAAAATATTGATAAAATAATAATTTATCAGAGAACTAATGCATTAATAACAATAATAACAAGCAAATACTGGCTCCATACAGCAGATTTTGCTTTGTTCCCACCCTCTTTTCTACATTGCAATGAAAAGCCAGAGACTGCAGAGTTTTCAATGCCAAGCCTTCTGTGGCAGTGGCCACAGCTGAGCCCTTCCCACCTCTTCCCATCCAGCAGCCTTTGCTGGGACTTTGGCACATGTGCAAATGCAGCAGTTGCTGTGGCCACCATGGTCAAGAGTCCCACGGTCAGTTCCCTAAAGTCTGGGCTGTGGGACAAGGCAAACAGAGGCACAAGCACCCCCAGAGAAGCAATATATTTCCTGATGTACTTTTGGTATGGGAAATACGATTTAACTACTCCTGGGAAGCGCAGTTGTGGTTCTTACTTGTAAATCTAGGAAAGACTGTCACAAGACATGTTTGTTTGTTTAAAATTCTTGGACAGTTAATACTGCAGTCACTTTAAATTAACTAAGACAATTTAAAATAGAACTTGCTCCATGATACTCAAAGGCCCCATGATATTCACCCATGCATTTCTTCCCATATTCTCCTGATTTTAATTCACACATAGTTGAAATAATTACTTCAAGACTTCCCTGGTTCTAATCCAGTATCAATATCCCCCAGWGCCCTTTCATTTATCTAAAAGGCTCTGGAACAAGGCTACAGATTCTTCTTTCCATTAATTCCTGTTTGAATATTGGCTATAATGTGCTACATGTTCCCAATTGTCTTTACTAGATGAAACATGATGCAACCCTTCAAACACTATTAATTCTGGAGATTCCTCCTTGGCCTTTGCCTCTGTTGTCCTCAGTGTGCCTATTTCCAAGGTGTGAAGTTCTGACTTAGACAACAYGGAATTCATGGGCTTGACTTTGCTGCCTGGAGGTGCAACTGGTTTCAATGGGGCTGTTCATGTTGGCAAATTAAACACAGGCATTGAATTTATTTCATTGGCGTCTCTGGAACAGAAACTACATCACCAGTGAAATTTCAACACAGTATTCTTAAAATGTGTGCTTAGTTTCATTTTCTGTGGCCCCACAGCATGGAAATTGGGTTTTTCCTCATTTCTCATGCAAAATCCAAATGCAAGTAGGGGCTGAGCCCAGACCCATGAGTAGCAATGCCTGCTCTCTACAGTGCAGAACCAGCCATGATTCCCTGTGCCTTGCAAAAAGGCGGGATGATTAATCTTGTGGCAAATAGACCAGTACAAAACAAAACCAAAACCACAAACAACAAAACAAACAAACAAACAAAAAAAAACCAACCACCCCCAAAAATCACAAAAAAAGAGCATGACTTAAAGAGACACAAAGCCCACTGAAAACTGACCCCTTCATACTAAAAAAACCAAAAAAAAAAAACCAACCACCCCCAAAAATCACAAAAAAAGAGCATGACTTAAAGAGACACAAAGCCCACTGAAAACTGACCCCTTCATACTGTTACTTATTTCAGCCTTCCGTAGTCTCATATTCAATAAGGCAATTATTCCCCCAGTCTGATGTCATTCTGACCCTTGCTGGCAGCTTTTCCACTCTAATCCTCAACATCAGCATTTCTCTGTCTCCCATATATGCTGTGAAGCCCTTGCCCTTATTCCACCCCCACCCCATTCCACATTCAGCCACTCACTACACCTCTCAAACCCTGCTCCAGGTGCTGAGCAAGGTTGACTCTTCTTCCACCCTATCTTCCTACTGGCCTGTCTTGCCCAACAGCACACCAAGACTGCTGGAGCACCCTGGAGAAACACAACTGTATGGTGGGAATTATGGTTTTCCAGCTAAGAATGCTGYTTGCTCAGGACAAGAGCCCACCCTGACAAACCACGACAGCCCTRCTCTGCTGCCACAACAGCCTCCAAGCCCAGATGTGGCCACACTTGCTCCTTTTTCCTAACTGCCCCACTGTACTGGCTTTCTAGAGTGGAAAGACGCCTTCAGCATGGAGATGCAGTGCAGAAAGAGCAGTGTCATWAGAAGGAAAAAACATCCAGATATTTGAGACCCCAGAAAATTGCACAAGGCAGCAGCTGAGGGGTTACCAACAGTGATAATAAACAAGCAATATGACCCCAAAGTCATACATTTGCATGCTGAGAAGGATGCARGGCCTCTATGGACTGCAGCTTGTTTTCTAAGACAAGCACTTTTTCCTGCAATCTTTGGATCTCCTGTTTGCTCTGGGCTTCTGTTTTCTGTAACATTTCATAGTCCAACATCTTCTTTTCAGCCAAAGATATCTGCTCTTTCAAGAAAGCTATTGCTTGTGTCTGATCTGTGTATTCACCGTGAAGTTTCTCCAGTTCATGCACCCTCAGCTCAGCATCTCGACACTTGTCCTTCACATCTTGGAGCTCAAGAAGGTGCTGACTGCTTTTGGTTTCCAGTTGCATTTTCCAGTTGCTGTTGCTTTTTTCCACTTCATCCAAAGCCTCCTGCAACTTTAGTTTGAGACTCTCTTTCTCCTTTATATGGACAGCTGTCTCAATATCGTGCTTTGCTTTCAAGTTCTCCAATTCAAGCTGATGCTCCAACTTTATACTCTCTACCACTGCCTTCAGYTCCACAATCTCCTTGTGCTGGGTRTCAGGGCCTGAGTTGAGTGTGGCTTTCAGGTCCTCCAGAGACTTCTGGTGGTCAGAAGCTAACGTGTCCAACTTGGACTTCCAGTTGTCCATGAGCCCCATGTTCTCATTCGTGGCTTGCTGAACTTTATGCTTTAGGTCAACAATCTCCTGCGAGTACTTCTCATTGACAGATTTCAGCTTCTCCATCTCCTGCTGGTACTTCTTTAGTGTCTTTTCGTACTTCTCCTTCAGCTGGCTGCTCTCCTTCTGATGCTCCTTATTGGCAGACAGCAGCTGATCCCGCAGCCGAAGAGCCTCTGACTGCAAGCCCAGGCTGTGCTCAGGGGTGTCTGTTTGGTGAGAGCTCCGGAGGCACTGCCGGAGCTCGTCCACCTCACTGCGCCTGAGGCTCAGCTCCTCCTCCAGCTGCAGAATTCTGGATTGCTCTGCCACTGTGGTTAACTGCAACACAACAGAGAACACAAAGTCAGTGCCCATCTCTCATCGCTGCATCCTTCCCCTTTAGTAAGGTGGAAATAAATCCAAAATACATTAGTCAAAGTTCAAATAAACAGGAAAAGAGCACCCAGTACCCTCCAACCTGAGCACAATTTTGCACCAGGGTAACGAACACCRAGAAATCACAGTTATGTCTGTGCCAACTGCAATTTATTTTTCGTAATACAAACCTCTCACTTTCCACAGAAAAACAGCTTGGAAATAGCCTTTGAAATTCACTAGGGAACAACAGTGGTTTATGAAAAATAATGTCCTGGAAGGGCATTATGTTTCCAGACCAGGCATCTTGCCAGATGATGCACAGAGGAGATGTGACTGCACATGCAGGAATTTCACAAGCATCAAAACCAGCATTAAGCATATCATGTTTCCTTTATTGCTCAGCAATCCTCAGCCTGCAGACCTCTTTTCTGTAACAAAATTTGTTTACCCTGGTGTAAAAAAGATAAGGGATTTTTACACATGAGTAATTGTTAGAGTTTATTAGCAATGTCAAAATAACAAAGGAGGCTAGAGGATGCAAGACAATAAATCGGACCATGGTACACGTTAAACTTAAGGACTATGGATCCATGTCTTGCAATCCGAATGTAACCTGGCAGGGCTGAACTCCCTGTGAGTCACAGGGAATTCAGGGTGCTGCAGCTATGGATGGAGACGAGGATGAAAAATTTTAAAAAGGCAAAAGAAAGGAGGAAACTGAGCCAAACCCCAAGAGATCAATTCCACYCCATTTCAGTTGCCATTTCCCCAGCAGCCATCAGCCCRGAAGGCTGGTGGTCATTGTTTTAGATGGGCACAGGGGGCTTCAAACCATCTAGACCTTTTGGAGACGCTCACATTTATGTTCTCTACAGCTCTCAAACCTAATGGTGAGATGCAAGCTCACTCACTGCAGCAAGTTTGCTGCTTCCCACACCAGCATGAAAAAGCCCTGTCCACATCTGGCTGCTTTTAGGATTCCTCTGGGCAACCTGTCCCATTGCAGGCACTGCCAAGGATCAGAGCAGACCCATCTGCATTCACCAGTACCTTCCATTTCAGGTGGCAGCTCCCACAACTGGCAGGGGAGACTRGAATGATTGCTGCAATATTATTTCCTCTTACAGCCTGGGGGGGCATCAAGGCAGAATGAATTGTGCAAGCTGTGGATATTATTGGAATATGTTAACTGAAAAATGAATTGTGAAGAGCTCATGTRTCAGATGGTGGCATGGGGCAGAGAAGCAAACTCAGTCTGAGAAACAAGTTCCCCACACGAGAAGCAAAGCTAGAAATCATATCATACTACTGCTTCTGGGAGAGAGAGCAAATGAAAACCAAACCAAAAATCAGGAAAGCTTAATTTCAAGCCAAAATCAATCAACCCCACAAAAACCAAAAGAAAGAAACCCAAAGCAAGGCATCATGAGCACCAAGGCAGGGCAAGCGCTGTCTGCAGGCAGGGCAAGTGGGGGTCCAATTACCCTGGTGTCCTCTAATTCTCTGAGGAGTTTTTCAGCCTGTGCCTTCTCAAACAGCAGGCTCTGCTCGAGCTCCCGTATTCGGGCATGCTCCAACTGCGTCTGAGTCTGGTTACACAGAAGGAAGAAAGAACAGTGGAGACAGGAGTAGGGGAAGGGAGGTAGAGAGAGAAAGAGAGGGAAAGAGAAGGCTGCAACATCATCTCCAGCGTACAAGACAAGGAAAGGCAGTTCACAACAGGAAGAGAATAAAAATCCAAACAATGAGGAAAAACCCAACCAAACAGAAAACGGTCCCTATGGGATTTTATATGGTACTTGTTAGTGGCTCTTCACAGGAAARTTGAATCTGTGATGGGAGAACATTCTTCTGCATTAGAAACCTGCTTCAGTGTTTTCCTGCATCARTTGAAGGCCCTTCCTAAAAAGCAAAGCTCCCACCAGTGCAAGGCCCTTGTGCACACAGAGAATGCAAAGATGTTAAACTATTTCTCCACATCTCTCTTCAAGAACAATCACAAGGTAGACTGAAAAGAGTTGGAAGCTCCCACCCTCTTTTTGCTCTGGAGACAGCATGAATCCTGCACTAAGTGGGAAAAAAAGCAGGTCACACTGTACATGGCATGTTATAAGACCAAAAATACACTGCACTTAAGTAATCAGGGAATTGAGATACAAAACTGTTCTATAAATCAGTGCTTTGAGTTTGAATAGGCCTGACATGAATTTCAAAGTGATTTTTATATGGTAAGATTCTACTGATTTTGGCACAGGAAAACAGAACTTCTTTGGTTGTTTGATTTTGGGATTTTTTTTTGTTTGTTGGTTTATTTGTGGGGGCCATTGACAAATGATTAAACTAAGCACAAGAAGTTCATGTAATTTGCCAAAACCCAGGAGCATTGACTCTGGGCATTGCTTCAGTGCCCTTCACTTTTAAATCTGAAGTRCCACAAAGCTGCACTTTGTGGCAAAGCTCAGCACTGCATAACCACCACTGTAATTGCAGGTAAAATTCCCTATCAGTAAAAGAAGAGAGGAGACATGGGAAAGTGCGTGCACACTCTAGGCTTTACATTTTTTTTTAGCTTACAAAACCCACGTTTTCCTTTGAACTAAACTTATCTACCAAATTAAAAAATTAATTTAGCAAAAAGCAAACAAACCTGTTCAGAACCACTTTTTACCCCCATTCCTTTGCCCTTCATTTTCCATATCTTTATTTGTTTCCCCCCTCTTTCTATTGGACCCAGTTTTCAGGCTTTTTGCTCTTCTTTACAATAAAGCGAGGCTTGGCTAGTTGTATACAAATGAAAGAAACTGTAGTTTTAAAAAATCCATGTTCTATGCTTGCAAATATCATTGTACACGTATTCATAGATGGTGATGTAACTGCCAGTTATATTCAGATGGCTCTGTATTTTATGTGCCTTCTCTGAACCCTTCAGGAGGGGGAAAAATATGTGGATTCAAGAGCCCAAATATTATCAAAGCCCCAAAGTATATAACTTAAGTGCAAAAGTTGGCTGATTGCATCCTAATTTTAAAAAAGGAAYTTAGTTAATTAAATAAAAATTAACCTGCTTCCTATAAAGCCCACATCTCAAGATGGAGCTCCAGGCTTGATTTTACTTGCAGGAATAAATACTCCATTGATACCAATTAATTAACTGGTGGCAGCACATCAGATAYTTGCTACCTGAAGATGCTGATCTGTTACAAAACTCATCTCTGGCCTTCTCAAAGAGATTCTCTCCAGACTCCTCAGGTTAACACAAATGCCCAGTCAAGATCTCAGTCCCACCTGATATTTTTGCTCAGTATCTATTAATCCTGCTATTTTCCAGCTCTGGAGAAATATATGAAAAAGGAGAAAAAAAGAAAAAAGAAAAGAAAATAGATCAACTGTTTTACAGTCCTTAATTCTTAGATTTACATAAAATTTGGTATTATTTTATGTAAATTGGTTTGCTAATGCTAGCCAGTATGAGTCAGAGCCTCAAATCCAAAGTCTTCCTGCACTTTGAGGAAGCTCAGATAAAAATTTCAGATTTAATTGTAGTTATTAGTCTTAAATTACTGTTCACAAATTATAAACTGACCTCCCACTGGCATTTGAGGCACACTGCAGGATCCAGGAGATGAGAATGAGAGAGCTCCTTGACAAGGATAATACTTCCTATAAACCATGGTCTTCCACCACAAAAAGCCTTTCCTGAAAGTTTTTCCTACATTTGGTTTTCATCTTTCAAAGCTCTTGAAAGCTTTTCCTGCACTTGTTTTTCATCTTCCAAAGCACTCAGCATCAGCTGCCAACCAGGTCAAAAGTGGGTTGAATTCCTAACTACATTTCAAGGCTAAATCAGAGCCCCCCTACCAGMGGTCCAAAACCTTGATCTGTATCTACAGGCCACCAACAAATGGATTTCTTTGGTCAAATTGTTTCCAATGATGCTGCCTGCCATGCACAATGCTCAGGAGACCTGGATTTATTCAAAACACACATGCTGTTGGGACAAATGTCAGGGGATTTAGCCAAGCCTTCAGCAGAAACCCCAGAGCCAGGGACCACAAAGCAGAGAATCTGTTCTTACCACTGTCATTATGTCTGTTACTGGCTGTTAAATCAAAATAAACATTCCCCTCTGAATACCTGGAAGAGCTGCTGGTGTAAGAGGACCAACAAGACCAGAGGAAAGCAGACAATTGTCACTGGATTTTGCTTTTGGCTAGTTCAGCTCCAGAGAGGATGYCAGGGGCTGTGCTTGCAGTCACTGGATGACTTTGTTGTGATTTTACACAAAGAATATCAAGAACAACCATTCCCCAGGAAACACWTTGCAACATGAAGGAGAACTTATCCTCCTGATTTCCAATGAGAGGTTTTGGGGCTTTTTTTTTCTAAGTTAATTACTGGCTTCTGGAAATCTTAACTGTCTCCCCAACAAAGCAGAAAGGTGAGAATTAACTCCAATGGGTCAATCATTCCATCTGAGCATGCAAATTAGCAGACAGGATGTAAAAACTAACCACAGCCAAGCCCTCTGCCAATGCCTGTGCTAGTGCTGATGTTGGATTCATGGAAAGCATGCCAATTCCCTCGATCAGAGGAAATCAAGCATGGAAGTGAGGACAGGACCATAATGGCCTGTTGAAAGCTTGGCCACATCCCCATTGCAAAACAATTCCTTCCCAGCCCAAAGGAAAATTAAATCTAAGACTTTAAGTCCCAAACTTAGAATGAGATTCCTTAGCCACAGTAGCTTATCATCTTGCTAAGCATGGTGACTTTAAAAAAAAACATATATATCCAAATATACCATTTGGCCAGCCCTGGTCCCATTGCCATCATTACACAGCCAGGGTTAAACACCTGGAGCTTACAAAGGGAAAATTCACTGCTCTCAAAGGGAATGATGGATGGATGGATGGATGGATCAACCCTYCTCTAAGGCACTGGGGGAAAGCTGCCAGCTCAGGCATGAAAAGAAATCTGATTTTGCACCTACACAACAGGCAAAAACTGCACTTGCTGTGCTTCAGCAAAGGTCTGCTATCACTGCAGATTTACACCCTATCAAACATCTCCTTCAGCTTCTGGAGGAAGAGGGGAGGTTTATGCCAACAGGATCACAGCCATAGCAACATATCCATTTCCTAGTTTTCCCATTTTCCTGGGCTTTTATTGCAATGAGTGACAGTGAAACATAGGACACCTTGACATTTCTAGCTGTTACTAACCTTGCACTCTGGCTAAAGAGAAGGAAAAGTCCCTTGATTTATATGTGGAACCAGAGCTTTCACAGAAAGATTTTTCTTTTCCATTTTTCCTCCTGGAAAAGCCTCCCACTGAAGGGTAAGCTCCCAACATCACTTCCAGTTTGTACAATGTTCACTGCAACAGCATCACTCCGGGCAACAGCCCTTCCCAGTGACAGGGCGTCAATCCTAGTGTCAAAACCACATTCATGGGCAGTGAACTCCACATGAGGATACCTCAGGATACACAGAATTTTGGCTGGAATTAAATAGCATCCAACCAGGAGAAAGTGTGTGCCCATTAGCTGCTAAGAGCAGGAAATCGCAGGGGCAGGAATTGAACAGTCAATTCATTTCTAGAGTGGAAAAACATATCTTTTAACACATTCAGACACAGATTTTAACATGGCTTGGCAATTCAGAGTGACAGAGTAACTCCAGGGATCTCCAAGTGTGAACAGTCATTGGGCACCACACCAAAGTGCAATCCTCACAGTTTACACCACGTGTTTGCATAAATCCAAAGCYATCAATAAAGTATTGTTCGAGGGGAGCAAAAGGTGGCTGAAATTACTCAACTGAGGCCCCACATGCAACTTGGGGTTTGAGGCCCACATCTTGGCAGGATCATAAGGAATTACCTCCAGATCCCCTTTTGTAATGGATTCTTCCTCCACACGGAACTGCAAGTCCTCCACTTTCCTGGGGAAGACACAAAGAAAAATCAGGAACACTCAGCTCAGCACTCTCTGTCTAATCAGCTATAGCACATGAGCCTTTTCACTATTAATGAAGTTTTATGGATTACTGCAACACCATCAATGGAGAGATCATTGCCARCAAATGGAAAAGCTGCCCAAAAACTACTGTTGAGCTTTTTGTGTTCTAAAACCACCCATCCAATATTAAAAAAATCATGTCATGGCCTGCAGAACCAAAGTCTGAGAAGAGAGGGATCCAGACCATGTTTGGATACAAACAGCTCAGCAGAAACTGAGCAGCAAGAATCACAGAGCAGGACAGTTAAAAGCAGCTTTCTACACAMAAAAATGGCTTTTCTGCTAGCTATATCTTCCCAGACACAAAACTACTGTTCTTTGACACCAGGATCCCGAAAACAAACAAACCACAACCAGGATTCACTGGTTTATTTAAACCTTGTATTATGATCCACCTTATTATGCTGCATCCAAGCACTGGGCAATTCCTGTGCCAAATACACAGGGTCCATACAAAATATTCCACGGGAATTGGATCCTCTGCCTGCTTGGCAGAGGGTGGGCAATGTTTAATGTTTCCATAACATGGACGCTGCGAGCTATCCTGGCAGAACAGTCTTTGCCACAGCTTGTGCAGGCCAGTCATGCATAAATGCACACAAAACCACTCATGAACACAGGCATTCCAAGGAAACTTTTCTCTTTTGGAAGAGAGAACCCAGTAACAGTAGAAAATAATTCAACTTTCTGCTAGACTCAGTTCTCTTTCTACTGATTAAAAAAAAAAGGCTGAGGATGTTGAGCTGGTAGCCAGATGTAAGGACTCTGATTCTGTTACAGACAAAAATAGCTATGAGTGTACATACTTAACTTCATAAACAAGTTTCCTTGTCTAAACCTCCTCTAATTAGATGAGGGAGGCATCTGTTGATATTTAGGGGAAAACTCAGCTGTCTTGGGTTAAAGGGCCTCCTGGAGCTGGGAAAGCGAGCTGCCTACTAGGAGTATGGGGAGACTTACATCCTCAGAAGGTGCATCAATCAATTGAAATTAACACTGTTTTTACAGTGTTTTATTACAATTTATTACACAGAAGAGTTTTTTTATTCCCACTGAAGAGTTTAATTATATACATGGAGCAACTGGACTCCAAGAATGAGACGCAGATCTTCACTTTTATCCAGAGAGGAAAGATATGCACCATGATATATGCGTGGATGGGGGCCTCTAGAATGTGGAAAGATTGTGAATCACACTACAGTAAGATTGTGCTCCAGTTTGTCTCCCCTTCCTCATAAAGGACATCCTTAAAATCAGCACTGGAGAAGAAGAAGGGGTCTTTAACAAATCCAGGTTGTACAGGAGGGTCTGTGATGGCCCAATATGCACATGCTGTTTATGACCCAATTCTTATTTCATACTATATCCTCAAGCCAAAACCACCTGAAGGCTTTATCACTGTCCACACATGACTTCACCTCTCTCACAGCCATCCACTCCTGCTTTACCTCTTCTCCTCTTCCAGCTGGTTCAACAGCTCAATCTTCTCCTTCTGCATCCCATCCACCAGGGCTCGYGCTCGCTGGAGGTTTCCTTCTGCCTCTGTGACATACTGAAACAAAAAACAAGCCCAAGACACAAAAGTTAACCATGTAGGAAGTAGTACAAAGCTGTTTAAGAAAGGGTCAGAACTAAGGAACAGAAAATTTTGATGATCTGTTTCAGAAGATTCTCGGGTAAGAGCACATTTTCCAAAGAGCTTAGAATGTAGGGATCAAGACAACAAAAACTGCTCAATCTCCAGCAACTCTAAGTTTTATCCATGCTTCAGTGCCTCTCTGACCTGAACCTTTTGGAGAATMCAGCTCTGATTAGAGTTAAAAACCTGAAGCCTGAAAAGTTTTGAAAATTTGGTCAGAGGTTACCAGTGCAATTCAGTCCCAGTCTGTTAATTCATTTGTTACTGATAATTACTGGAAAATACGCTAGAAGAAATGTCAGTTTGCAGTTGATTTCCCAATTTCTCCTGCATTTCTGACAGGCAGGTGTGATCCACCACACAAACATTCAGTGACATCCCTGCTACAAGGTAGCTTACTCAGGTTTATAAGCACAAGTAAGGAATTTAGGACAACAGCAGATGTTGAAGAGCCACAAACTGACAAACAGAACAAACACAACTCTCTTTAAGCATTTGAATAAATAAAATATCCTCTGTACAAATGCTTGTGCAAAAAACAAACAAACAAACAAACAAACAAACACCAACATAATATGATTAGCCTGTTTTCCTTCTGGATTTCCTGACTTTATTAATGTGATAAAAACATTCCTCTCTGGTGGGAAAGCAGTGGCATATGAACTGAGTTGATGTTGTCAGCACCACCAAATCACCGCAATGCAGTCACAGCCACAGCCAGATTCAGTGGCTGAAGGGAACAAATTTGCCTTMCGCTTGCATTTCAGCATTGAAAGGTATTGATCCACCACACACGAACTATCTACTGCCTCTTATCTGGCACAGCTGTTTTCCTGCTCCTGGCTCAGGCAGAGATAMCACTTGTGACATTGGGAGAGCAGAGAAAGAGCTTCAGCTTAACTTAACACATAACAAGCAGAAATTCAGAGCCCAAGTTTCACACATAGGTAAACTTATGATCCAGAACTTTCAGGGGATATCAAATATCCAGATATTTGAGAGCTAGTGATAGAAGCCCTATCACCTCCTACCTGTTCATGTTGGGCCTTCATGATGGCAATCTCCTTCTCCACCTCACAGATGTGGCTGGTGGCTTTGGCAACCTCTGCTCGCTCCAGGTCACGCTCTGCCAGCAGCTGTTCAATGTGCTGCTGCTTCTCCTTCAGGGCCTCCTGGAGAGCTGTGGTGCCAGAGATTTTCCGAGCATATCGAGAAGAGGTCTCTGTCAGCTGGGAAAAGAGTTAGATGGGGTAAAGCTGTGTCTTTTCCAGTCTAGAATAGTTAAGTCCCCTGCTAAATCTGGAATGCTCACTTAATGACCGTTTATTCAGATGAATGGAGCTGCAGTTCCAGCTTTGGGCCCAATAWGGGAGGTTAAGCCTGAGAAACATCTGGACAATGCTCACAAGCTCAATTGCTCTTCTGCACTGCAATGAAAGAACCATTTCCCAAAGGACAAAACATGGGGTGGGAGCAGAGTCAGGAAGAATTATCATGCATTGTATAACTACCTTCTTACAATATAAAATAAAATATATTTTGTGTGATGACCTGCACTGATGGAATCCCAAAAAGTGAGTGCAGCTGGGCCAACTGATCTCAAGTGGAAACCAGTATGAGGTTATTTGTCCACTCTCAGGGATGACACTGCACGCTTGTCCCCAGCCAAGAGGACTGCGGGTGTTYTGCAGCAATACCACAGCAGAGATGGTGTTGCAATACTTGCACTGCAGCAAGGAAAAGCAGATCACCTCCAGCACTGTATTCCCTTGCTTCAGGGGAGCAGCCAACACAAAAAGCTTTTAATAATATCACTGCCTGCTCTGCTTTCTGCCTGCTTGAGCACCTGCCAAAACTCCAGGCATGTGACCCAGGACATTATCACCCTCCACAGTAAGACAGTCACACTAGGAGCTTTGCACAGCTGGTCAGGGCAGCATGTGACACTGGACACTGTCCTTTTTCTGCATGGATCCCTTATAAACCTGCTCTTGACAGCAGAACTGAGATTCATCCCACTGCAAATCACAGTTCAGGCACTTCATTGGTCACATTTGCTTGGTGGAGATTATTTGTGAATATGGAAGGAGATTATTTGTGAGTAACACTGTGGGGAACATTGTCCCACACTCCATTCCCCTCACCTGATCAATGGTGAAGGAGCAGCTACATTGGAAGAAAAYCCCAGCCCTCCCACTTTGTGGAGTTGTGTCACAGAGGTGGCTTGAGGCTGCAGAGACCACACAGGAGCCACTTACCAGCCCACTGCGGCTGGGCCTGCCCCCGACTGATGAGGCCACTGAGCTGACAGAGCTGATGGAGGAGCTGCTGGGGCTGTGGGTCAGGGCTGACACTCCCATGGCCATCCGCTTGCTCTTCTTTGCCTTGGCAGGGCTGGTTGATGGGAACCCAATCCGGATCACCTTGTGGATGGGGGCAAAGAGGCCAAACTTGGGTGGGCACTGAAAATACCTGGAATACAGGAGATGTACCAAATGAGAAGTGGCAGAACATCCATCTCACTCAACCTTGAAGAATGGCACTGCCAAGCAGTACCAAACCCCAGCCCACAGCTCATCTCCAGGTGCTTTGCTGTGACATCGTTTCCTGTGTACAAGTAGTTGGACTATTCTCCTCTCCTGTTTGTAGTACTGGCAATCTCCATGTTTGCATTTGTGGTGCTTTAGCAGGGAGACCTGAGGTAATTGCCAGGTGTTAGTTCCTGTGCACTTTGATCAGATGCCAGGAAAGACACCTCTGGCAGCCTGGAGAGCACATATCCCAGAACACAAACACAGCCAGAGCACAAGCATTCCTTCCTTACCAGCCAACCTTTCCAACAAACCAATCTTCCCAAAACTTGTGTGTGCTCTTTACCCTGCTTTGAGATAATGATATGGTGAAGTGTGTCTGCAGAGAGATGTCAGAAGATGGACCAGGCTCTGCTCCATGGGGCTCAGAGGCAACGAGACAAGAGGCCATGGCCAGGAAGTTCCACCTAAACATGAGGAARAACTTCTTCCCTGGGCAGTGACCAAGCCCTGAAGAGGCTGCCCAGAGAAAGTGTGGAGTCTCGTTCCCTGAGGATATTCCAGAACCATCTGGACACAATACTATGCCATGTGCTCTGGAATAACCCTTCCTGAGCAGAGAGGTTGGACCAGATGACCCACTATGGTCCCTCCCAGTCTGACCCACCTTGAGACTGACTCTGTGTCAAATAAAAAGATCTGAATCACACAGTTCTATATACATGTTCCATGGGGTAAAAAAAAAACCAAAAAAAAAACCAGGAGAAAACAGCAGCTCAAACCTTTGAAACTAAAAATATCATTACAGCAAACTTCAGCGTGTGCCATCTCCTTTAGATGGCAGAGAAACTGTTTCCCACGCAAACAAACTTGAAAAGATGCAAACATGGAAAAGGGAGGATTGGCTAATTACAGGGCAAGCTCTCTTCCAAAACTGCAGTGAGCCTAACGATTGTGTCTCTCCAGAGCCCTCTTCCAGAATAAAAATGAGCTAAAATGCAGTGTCAAACCCTGGAAACTCCTTCAGGGCCTCGGCTGGCCAGCATAAACCAGGGTTCATTTGCTGCTGGCCAGCTGCAGTGCAGCAAGAAAAACYAGATCACCTCCAGCATTTTATCCCCTTGTTTCAGGGGAGCAGCCAATACAAAAAGCCCCTGTAAGAGCTTTCTCACAGGCTTCATAGCAAGAATAGGACTAAATACTTGGTCATAAAACAATCTGTCCTATGTTAACATGAAAAAAACAGGTTCCAATGACTAAATTACACAAATCCAGTTTTACTAGCACAAGTTCTCTCTCTCTCTCTCTCTCCTGATGTGAGCAGCTGTTTCCCCAATTCCCTTTTATTTTAAATGCTGGCAGCCATACAGCTGTGTCACAGGCAGACTCCTGTGTGCTCAAGAGGCCAGGGAACAGCCTGATCTCCAGTCAGATGAGAATAAAATTAATTTTCAAACATCTGCTCAAACTTTTTTTTTCTATAACAAACTWTAAACAACCCCTCCACAACCCCAAATCTCAGCCTCCTCAGTTTGCTGCCAACATAGGCCCTTGGGTTTAGAAAACCAGCCATACCACAGGCTGACCTCTTSCAAACCTGCCAAAGCCCTGGTCAGMATCRTTTTCTCAAATTCCAGTAGGYACAGGCAGRCCAACAGCCCCTTCCACWGCTCTGCYTGGTGTAAGCACAGACTGGTACTCATGGCTGCACAACAATCTCAAAGGTTAATTCCCTTAAAAGCCTCTGACAGCTCTTAGCAAGAACAAACTTGCATCACTATGTCAGCCCATTTTCTTTCAGTCCAGATTGAAAGTAGTTRCAATTAACTTCTGTGGTTCAGAAGCAGGGTCCAAAACACTTAGCAGTAGAAAAACCTACTTGAAAACCAAGAGCTGCTTTCACTGAGTGTGGAAGAGCTCCATACACACATTACAGGGAAGAAAAGTGGTGGTGTGATGACAATGCAAACTGCAGGTGGGAAACACAGGAAATGTTGAAAYAGATGAAAAACTTTCAGTGTCCAAGGCTGACATGTCACAAACTATGCAAAAGTAAAAGTCTGGGCAGTTTAGGAGCAGAGGCAGAGAAGAGAGAACAGTAAAATAAGCATGTCAATGTTTAAATTACTAGAGCTGAGTACATGGAACTTGCTTGGCTTTGTGGAATTGACACCAAACCAAATCAAACCACAACAGCACWTCTGTAGTCTCCTGTGCAGATGAAGATACAGTAAAGCTCAGTGCAAATCAGCACCATCTGATGCACAGAGGGTCCCCTACAATGATAGCCTGTCCCCTGGGCCACTGCTGCTGATCCACAGCCTGCAGGCAGCCTCCACTGAAGAGCCCAGCCCTTCAGCCTTCCCTTGATGCACATCCACACCTGAACCTACAGAAAAATCAGGGACCCACCACAAATTTCAGCCAATTCACGACCAACTCAACTGGAGTTGTCTATGACAGCAAAGGTGGTGAAAATGTCCTTTGCTCCATGCTGCCTCTCCTACTTCCACCAGCCTCCATTGTCCTGAGCTCCARTTTTGGCTCCACTCTCCTTTTGCAGCTGCAGCAGGCAGTGCTGGGCTCACTGGCCWGGCCAGGGCTGCTCACTAGATGGCAACCACCACCAAAGCACAGACTTCAGAGTCCTGGACAGCCTCTGGCCAGGCTGGTCCTGRCAGGACAAGATCAGGGCAGCCTCAAGAATTCCATTCTGCCACAGCAAACAGGGAGCACTGACTGATAGGTGCCTACATACACCACGGGAGTTTGTTCTACTATGTTAGCTTCTACAAACCACTGCTGTTGAAATGGGCACGTGCTCCAAGAAAATCAAAAGGTTTGATCACAGCTCAGAAGGACAGACATGGACAATGCTGCAATCTTGCTCTAAACCGTGTGAAAAAAAGAGAAGCCTTTGCAGACAGGGCACACATTAGAACAGCCTCAGCCAAGATGCAGCAGTTTCAGAAGACAGATGACTTCCAAAAGTTGGATTTTCAAAACACAGCAAGAGAGGTATGAGGATGAGAGGCAGACAGCACTGCACTCACATCTGCCTTTCACACATTCCACATGCACAGAGACAATAAATAATTTCCAAGCACMCTAAAGATCATTCTTCCTGATAGTTTGAATTGTATGATAAATAAAGCACGGTCTTGCATTCACTTCATGATTCATTCTCTACCATCCTGATTCTTTTATTTTGAGCACAGGCAGAAACTCAGCCATCTGCTGCCAATCATTTACTGCTTTCTTGCCCTGACATTGAACAAGGCAGCTTTTCTCTTATTTTAGATGAAGGCATATGGCTGCTGGGCAAAAAAGGCTGACCCAGGATAAGAAACCTTTATTATAGGACCTGAAAGCTAATAAGGCAGTAACTCTCAGCTCCCCAAAGTTAGGTGTTAGACTTGATGATCTCAAAGGTCTTTTCCAATCTAGTTAATTATGCGAAAGATAAATCTCACTTCTGAGGTCAGGTTGCCTTCAGAAGCTCCAAGAAAACAAYAGTATTTCCCACTTAAGAAACTTGTGTAGGACAAGGAATTAGTTGCACCCATATTTGAAGCAGGGTCGAAGTGCTGCTATATAATTCAGATTTGAACTTCCCAAGATCAAGATCCAAGGCCTGGGTCATTCCTGTTACTAAATCCCACATGAACAGTAAGAGCTTCCCAGCAAGCCTGTGAGATGTCCCTGCCTAGTTTTATAGGAATAACAAGGGTTTTTTTTGGAAAATAAAAGAGTGGAGGTGCCTATGGAGTCAGGGGTGGTAAGATCAATCAGCAGACACCTGTYGCACTACAGAATTACTGTAAGGACAGAAAACAACCACCAATTGTTCTTTCAGATCTCTGGAAATTTGTTCCCAGAAAGAACAGAAAAAAACAGTAAGCTGAAGAGAAAAGAAAGTCAAATCTTTGTCTTTTGTAGCTCTAAGGGGGTGACTTACCGAGCAAGAAGAAAGTTTATGAAGGGAATATGTGGTAGAAAGCAGAGCTAATACAATCAACAGAATCAATTTCTAGCAAAAATTAAATCCCACTGTAAGTTACCTTCTTGCCCTACTTTCTCCTATTTCCTGAACTCATTCAGGTTCCTCCTTCACAGAAGCTATCTGATCCTGCTTTAAAATTCCCCAATGATGAGCTTTGTATTCATCTTCCTGCAAGGCTATCCCAAAGTCTGAAAGACTCAAAATTAGACTCATCCCACCTCACAAAGTACAGTTAAACACAGCCCTAACTCTCCTCCCAGGTCTGATGGCATTTGGCCCCTCAGCCACCCCAGGAGGTGTGTAGGACCCAGGATGGGGTTCTGAGCTCACAGTACCTTGTACCAGCAACCGCCCCATCATTCTTCCCCAGGGGTTCATCCAGCTCCACACCACACCACTCTCCTTTGGCAAAATCCGTCTCTCCCACGTAGCGCACGACTCCTGTCTTTGTCCCACCAACCTGTCAGAGATAAGAGGTTGAGGATTAGAGATGGCAGAACTGGCACTGACACAAGGGGACTGAAGGTGGGACAGGTATTTAGAGAGGGGGACAAGACATCAGTATTTTCTGTTTCAGATCTAATGAAATTAGCAGACAGTTCTCATACCAAGTTCTTCCAGCACTAAAGTTGTCTCTCCAATAACTACAAGTGTATCTATGARCTCCCACTTTTGGGACTGCCTGCCTGGAAGATGTCAGAGCAAATATAATGGAAACACATTTCAAAGTGTCAACTAATTGCACCAAGTTACTTGTGAGGCCACAAAGGAGTTTAAGCCCTGCAGGCATAGCTCATACCTGCCTTACCTGAAGAACCATRACCTACACAGACAAGTTTTCAGCACTGTGCTCTTTCAGCCAGCAATTCTGAGCAACACTTGGACAGCAAGGGGACAGCTGAGCTAGGAAAGCATTCATTGCTCCTCAGCTTACTCCCAGGCAAGGTTTGCTAAGGATGTAGAATCTGCTCAAAATAGAGGTGTTTTGTAAGGAGAGTATAGCAGAATAGCAGAGTGTGGCAGTGAAGGCTTTGTAAAGCCTCCACTTTTACCTACATTACCTACAGCAATTCCCAGAGCTGGCAAACTGCATGGAGTGGGGCTCAACTCACTGCCAGGCATCCTCCACACTTCCCCCCAGGTTTCTTCCCCTTCCATGGAGAAATAAGAATAAATCACACCTTTCCCCCCTGAATTTATACTTAAAGTTTCCTGCCTACTGAGGAGACTCAAGGATGGCAAAAGTCAGGAACTGGAGCTGTGTTTTGATCATTGCTCTGAGAGCAAGTAGCACTGAGCTGCAGCTGCTCCTGCACTAAACACTCCCACTTAGACACTTGAACTGAGAAAAGGAAGATAGAAAAGAAGGAGGGTGGTTCTAAAGAGTTCATACTTCAAGTAAATYAGCATATGATCTACGTCTTTTTTTAGCATCTCTGCTAATGCCTAAATTCAAGGAATAAAGCTTAAAAATGAGTTTAAAGTTAAATTTGCAGCTTCATCCTGAATTAGTTGCAATTATTAATTTTCTTAATATTAAATTGAACATTAAAAAGTATCAACAGAATAATATTTTCCTACAGAAAACAGTGAGTGCTGAATGCAGAAATCTCTGAATTTGTGCAGTCCAGGGTAGGAATGTTAGATTTAGCAATCCTAAATCCCTAAAAAATTGCTTATGCAAAGGAAAAAATAGTTTCTCCAGACTTAAAATAACTGYACTTTATGGGCTAAACAGCACACCTCCAAAGTCTGGGTCCTACCTCAAATCCTGGGAGGCTGTAGCATACAGCTTGAGTTGGAATTTCTCTCACTAGAGATTCAAAGCACTGCTGCTTATGGAAGAAAATCTTTGTGGATATTGTTCTCTTTGCTACAGGATAGACTAATATATTTGCCAGCAGGAAAGGATCACAAGAAAGCTTTCTGGTCCTGCATTGTGTCCAGGAGTAAAAGTACAATTCAATTGCAGTATTAGGTACTTGACAAGTTATTAATTTGAACAGTTGCAGTGAATTCTTTACCTATCACTCACAGTTAAATGCTAGCCCCTATGTTGACTRATCTGAGTTTATTTATTAAATTCAGCCTCTTAATATTGATGCAACGTTTTAATGCCATTGTAATACATTTATTTAGCTGCAAGGTGAACTTGATATAAGTGTAATTAATCTTAATGTCATTCATAGGAACTTACCATTGCTGGTGTGCCTCCTCAATTTTATTTTTATTGAGSTTTAATTCCCTTAAAGTCAGATATWTTCTTTACCAAGCCACATGATCCTGAAAGAGTCTCATGTAAACCTTAAGAAACCATTGAGCTYCCTCCATCAGTGTGAGCATGGCATCTACTGCAGAGTCCCACTCCTTCACCCGCACAAAGGAACACTCAGTTATGTCCCCATCAGTATTATTTATTTGAGAAAGCTGTTTCCAACCAAGAGAGTAAAAAACTACCCTACTGACCTGATGCACACATTGTCTATTTATGCCAACACTAAAACTRTGCAGTAAGAGTGCAGGTCATGCTCCCACCAAAAAGCCTCATGTGAGAGAAGAACTCTAAGCACAGACCAGATCYAACACTTCCCTGAAGAGCCACACAATTCCCTCCTTCCAGCATAGTGTATTTTATTTTCTCTTTTGAGCATTAATTATTCTGCCATCCTCTCTGTAAAACAYCCCTTGCCATACAGCATCACGTTCTCCCGCAAGCCAGGATGGACACATCTGCTCCCCACAGCCCAACTGGCAGTGCAGTCAGAAACCAAGATCAGACTGTCACTCTCACATGCCAGTGCTCGAGCCTCTTGTTGAGCTTCCCATCTTTTGGCAGGCATGCAAAAACTCTGATGGATGAAGAGTCCAGAAAATTCAACCAAATCAGACATGCAGACTTATTCAGATAATGCTGCTRAAACAAACCAGTGTCAACACTCCAAATTTCTCCACTTCAGGTAAAAACACGRTTAAGTTTAAACAAGGTGGTGGTAGCCCTTCCTCTTCAGCTGGAGTTGAACAGCCTCTGAGCCACACACATTGGAACTCCTGGAACATTCAGCTCCAGACTGAAGGTCTCTGCCCCCTTTTTCTTGCCTTTAATTAAAGAYTATTTTCCTGACTGCTTTTCCCCARTGAAATGTCTCCAGTWGTTTCAARGGATGGTCYTGGGCTTGACCTYCACAACAAAATGAAGCCAAGGATATTTAGCAGGTCTGTATCTAGTGTGAGTCAGAGCAGCAACATGTGATCATGGAAGGACATCCACACACCTTCCCTGCTAATTGTAGTATAACCAACATCACRTTTTACTATGCTTTTCCCATCAAAATGACAAAATGGAATTCAGTCCAGTATCTCAGGGATGAAAAGACAATTATGCTAATCCTTCCAGAMATTGTCTTCATCAGAGCTGCTAATACATAATTTAAACTATTTACCAAATTAGAAGCAGGCCAGATCTCAATCTGACTGCTATGAGTCATCCCCCCTACAGCCTGTGTTTGCTCTATGCTCCTCATGGCCCTGCTCATCCCACAGCAGCTTCYTGCTCTAAGCAAGAACCTCTTGGGAGCTGCCCTCACTCCATGGCCTGTGAGCATTRCTCTGTTTGCAATACATTCCAATACTGCTCAGGAAGAAGAGRAAAATAAAATTCTCTGTGCCTTTCAGGCCAACAGGGTCAACTGTCCACAACCATGTCACACACGTTCAGGTGTCAGCTTTAGGTGAGGCACCTGCTTGAGCATATTCCCATGCAGAAACCCCCAGATAACACTGTASTCTGTTCAATTTTAATTTACCCACTTAATTGATTTTCAAAGCATTTCCACAAGACAGGGCTGATGACCAGAGGGYGGAGGTGGGAACATAAAGTGCCCAGCACACAGACAAGCCTCCTCTGCAGGGCTCCCATGTCCCATGCTGGGTCCCAGCAGAACTGTGGGACTCTCCTGTTGCTCACCTGTGGGAAGAGGAAGGAAGGGTGTGGAGGGAAAGAGCATACACAGGACACTTGCTTTACACTCTGATGACCTTCAACCACTTTWTGAATGCAGCACATCAGCTTAGTCCACTCTGTTACTGGATGATGCCAACAAGAACTTGAAATCACCTTTACTGGACAAGTGCAGCTTGTTCTGGTTTGAGCTGTACTGCAGGCTCTAYCCAGCCTGTAAACTGGAGCAACCATCCTTTCCCATGGGGAAAAATGGCTGGGTTTATTACCCCCTCCCCATACTCATCCTCTCAGTAAAGGATCATATTTCCACCAAAGCTGAGAGAGTCAAGAGCTGTGTTTTCCCATCACACACARTTTAGCTCTTCCTGGCATTAAAAATCACAGTACAATACTTGATTTACAGAGGGTGATTTTGGCAAAGGCACAGGCTGTGGGTCACCTGAAATAATGACCTCTAAGTGCAACAGGGTAAATGTCTGTACCTATGGGWGATGTAGCCATCACATACTGGGGCTGTGTCCCAGCTACAGCCGGGGCCAGTGTTTAGCAGCTGGTGGAAGGTGGAAATCTGGCTTGTGGTCAGGTTTATCAGTAAGTACAACTTACCTCCATGTGGCATCTGGCCATCAGCAGTTTTATCTGATCAGATAAATACCATGTCATCTGAGAATGCCAGAACTGGCTTTAGGGTAAGGGGAGAGACAGACAACCAGGAATTACAGGCCATCCCTTCTTATGTGAAGCTACAGGAATTTTTATAGTATCTTTTCATCCAACCACTTATCTTTGTGCCTACCCATCCCCACAGCACAACTCAGCATTGCACAGCAATGAGTCTGACAGCATTGCTGATGCAAGACATTTCTGTGCATTTATCTGTCAGGCACCAGTGAGAAAATARTATCCTAGGGAGGTGGTGTAAGAGGAAAGCCTGGAATTACAGCATCCCCTCCTGGGGCTGTCTCYGRTAAAAGTCCGCCCATGTTAATAATACAGTTTGCTCCACCACAGGCCACTTACAACTCCTACTTAATGACAGATACTGCTCCCAGCAGACAAGGGCCAGGGAGTGTCTCAGTCCAAATGAATGGTTAGGAGGGTGTGCACAAAGATCCGCTAAGGGTTATTGTGGCCGCAGTGCAGGGCAGTTGCTTTGGGCTATTTATTTCCCTCTTTGTTTCACGGCAGTCCCAGCTAATCACAGAAACAGGCCGGTTTAGGTTAGAAAAGACCTTAAGGTTCATCTTGTTCTATTCCCTGCCATGGGCAGGGATACCTTTTCACTAGACCAGGCTGCTTCATGCAGCCTTGCCTTGAACACTTCCAGGGWTGGGGCAGCAACTTCTCTGGGCAACCAGGGCTGCACCACCCTCACAGGAAAGAATCTTTTCCCAATATTGAACCTAACCCTACCCTGCCAGTTTGAAGCCATTCCCCCTTATCCTGACACTTCACATTCCAGTAAAAAGCCCCTTTCCACCAACATTCTTATATAGTGAGGAAAGAGCTCAGACTAGGAGTCCTAATGTTCTCTTGTCACCTGAATCCTGCGAACAGCTGGAACACCTGCACTTCGAGCTGCCTGTTGCAAACTTCACTGCCACACTCTGTTCTGCTATACTCTCCAATCATGACACAGCAATTGCTGGTCCTCTAATGGATGGAGATGTAAGCAGGCAATGGAATACTAAGAATYCTACCTTGAAAGAACTACAGAATTACATCCTTCCTTCTTTTCTGCCTCTTTAACAAGAAGAAAATATGCTTGGTGATTGCTTGTCTGAAAAGGCCACACAGGASCATTGCTGCACCTCTAGGACCCCACAAACTGGGAGAGCTCCAATGGTTAACCAGGAAAATAAAGAGCAGGAATCCTTCCTTCATGACCCCTTGTGTGCCTTTCCAGCAGTGAGGCTTCAGTCTCAGGCACTGAAATAGCTCAGGGACCTGGTGGCAGCAGAGCAGTGAGTTATCTCTGCCCAAGGAGAAGGGCTTAGGCTGCAATTCTCCTGCCCAGGGAGCTTCTCAGGAAATGATTTCTCACTTAGGTGGTTCAATGCTTTCTGCAGCTCCAGGCYGGTCAAGCAGGGCTGAGGCAGGCACATGCAGGGGGGATGCTGAAGAAAGGACTTGATTAGTTTATTCATGAGCACTGCCCATCATTTGCCAGGAGCCAGGGATTGCAACACACTGCAGGCAAAAACAGTTAGCAGCAGACAGAGGTCATTAAAATCCCAGGTTCAGAGGGAAGCCTAGGATGCATTTCCAGCCCAGGCAGCTCCACACAGTCCTGCCCAGCGTCAGCTAAGGTGCTGCTTCACCAACTCTCCCTGCAAGTGCTGCTGTTTCAGAGCATTTGCACTGGGTTTGAACACATGCAAGTTCCAGCAAAATCACAAACCTGGAATCCATCCAAAAAGTMTCTGGGGCAATAGCCCTCAGCAACTGAAGCAGCCACTGGGATATAACCTGGCCCTTAAACAGTCTTATTTATTACTACATTTCAATGCTGAATTGCACAATCCCAGTTAGGAGACACAAGGATGGCTGAAGGGCAAAATACCTATTGTAAGAGGATATTTTTTTTTTGTTGTTTAAAGTATTTTTGATTTAGGCTGACATGTAATAAAAGCACCCTTTTCCCCTCCTTCTTCAGAAAGCAATGCCATCTAAGGAGAATTAGTTCAGCTGCTTAGAAAGCTTCTCTACAAAGAATACAAAATACATTTTCTTAGGCAAAAAAGCCAGCAGAAATTCCTTCCAGGCAGAAAATGCTCCACTGCTCTGTTTCCATCCCTTCTTTCCCTGCAGAAAGGCAACAAGCCAGCCTCACATTAACAGTGCCTCAGCAATTATCCYGCTTCAGAAAGCCTCACTGTCACTAAAGCAAAGGTTAATTGTCCCACATTTATTTACCAGACTTCAAGAGTTGAGTTCTACAATATTAGGGTGGATTTTTCATCACTTTAATGCAATTTTATATCTCTGGGAGCAAGTACGAGTTAGAGTGCCAAAGGCAAATATTATCTAACTCTTCTAATGGAAAGTCACTTTTTGCAACTGCTGGAGAGYCAGAAAGGGTCTTGGAACAAAGTCACTGAAAAGCAAAAATATCTTCAAGCTATAATGGACTTTAATGAAGTAAAAAAAAAGGCACCATCAGGAAATGGCCAGACTGCAGAGAGCCAGGTGTCCATCTGGCCAACCCTTTAAGGGTCCCCCGTAACCTTGTGCTCCATCCAAAGCAATCAGTAAAATCACATGTCCCTCATTTGAAAAGTGGATCCCGTACACCTAAAAGCCACTCTCAAATTAAAATATACTCTTTCAGAAAAAGAAACACTAAGAGTAATAAGGACAACTAAAATTGTACCAATCTATTGAGGATAAGCAAAAATTCACTCAGGGAATTTGAGGCAACTCAGGTTAATTCACAATTATTGTTTATGTATTCCAACACCAAACATGATTAACTCCCATTAACTACCATGACATCTCCCATTAGTAAAATAAAAGCCAACTGCCAAGTCAAGCACATGTGAATGAACCATAACAGCAGATTATTTCTTCTTGTCAACATCTCTTCTTTTCCTGGATCTCTATGATTGTGTGCAAACAATTCCTGATGTTTMTGTAATCTGAGTATTCCTGCTAGAACCAGTGAGAGGCTAAGCTCATTCCAGGCTCGCTGTTTTGGAGCTACTTATTACACAAGAAACTTTAATAACAACTGAGGTGGAGAAATTAGCAGGCAGGGAGGGCAGGCTTTTAACGATGAACCCTCATTAAAAACAAGTAACAAACCCAAACCATTCCAAAACACAACTCAACAGAAGCCCAGGGCAGAGATGCTCCCGGGCTGTATTTTGTGGCTATGCCAAAATTCACTCTRTGTGGGCCCCACTGAGGTGAGCAGAGTGTTCAGGAAACAGCTTCTATCTTAGGTAGGAGGAGAAAGGGGTAATTCAAGTCTGGAAAACGTCATTCCATTGCTTGCCTGGCTCAGAAAGAACAAAGCCATGTTTACCAYAGATTTTATACTTTGCAGTTTGCCTTCCAAAACTGCTGCTTCTAAGATCAGTTCTCACCTGAACACTCCCCCCACTCCCTGCAACAAGTAAAGGAGAAAATGGAGCAAACCAACTGATCAAGAGGACAGATCCCCAGGTTCATTTTTCCCCATGTGTGGCTGCTGTGACAGACCAACATGAAACATCAGTGCTTGTGCAAACAGGGAACAGTGCTGTCACCTTTCCCTGCCCACCCTGTCCTGGGACTGCAGACAGAGCAGCAGATTTGCTGYCAGCAGGAATGGGGAAGGAAGAGAGGCCAACTGGTGAAATCAGGAAGCAGACAGACCCTTGAGCAAGCATCAGCTCCTGCACACATTTTGGGGAAATTTTTACAAAATAAAACTCTCTCACCTTACAAACCTACATACTCACACTACATTTACTAAGCACCATCCAGTGAGCACAAATAGAATCAATCTTCGCTTTCTGTCCTCTAAAAATAACCAAWTTTAATTGTTTATATTTCATATAACTAAAATAAAAACTATTGGACAACCCCTRTCCCAAAAGTACATTTGAGACTGGCTCTGACAGTTCCTGCACATGGTCCTGATTCATACTGACTGTGGAGCCAGTTCTACCAAATGCCTGTCATTTATCACATGTCCAGTCTTTCTGCCCTCCCCCACAACCACTGCTAGTACTGGAACCAGGTGCYCTARAAARGAAACAYTACATGGATAACTTTAGATGGGATKCAGATTACCCAAGATGTGCAAAGACTCTGTAACCTGTYATGGCTGTTGGTCAGAGTCACCCTYACCTTTTAGATCCAGGGGTATTAGTGGGGATAGTCACAACTGATCTGTGCTCAAATGCTTGGCTCTTCCAATATTTGATATCACACTATGTATCACACACACACTAACAAAACTAAACTCTCTTATAGAGCKGCAGGACATAATTTAGTCTTCCTATCTTTGATATAATTTCCTTCTCCATCATCTTTGCTAGGTTACAAATGATGACAATCCAGGTGGCAAACTTCCAGTATTCCATTCCTAGTGCAAGTGTGGCATTTTGGCTTAAAATCATCAGGTAGTCTATTTCAAATAATGAAAATAACAGAAATCAGATGCGAAAGACTCATCCCTCAGAACAGAGATCTCTCCCAAAGTCCTGACATCTTTTAAAAATTACTGGAAGTTCCTTTCTGTACAGGAAAGAATTTATCATATCTGACATAAGAAAACTGAACCAAGAGTGAACCAGCAGGAGAGATCCTTGCAAGTCCTTTCCAAGTATGTACAACCATGTGCAAGAAGACACTGCTGCAAACTCCTTGAAAACCCCAATAATACACTCCATTATAGAGTTTCACTAGAACAGAACACAATAAATGATTTTGYTTCTATTTCCCTCATGTTTCAGTTGCTCTGACATATTTCTACACTTCAGGACTTGTCCAACACAGGAAGTACTTTGGAACACATTCTCCTGCACCAACGTGAAAGAGAGACATGTCCAGAAGAATAGCATCCCAAATAACAGTGTAGAAGTTTGATGCCTACTGGGCCCAGGCATCTCCCAAGACCACACTCCATCCCACACATCACCACCAACCCTGTCCTCCTTTTGTCTCATCCTGAACCTGACCAGGAACACTCAGTGAGGGGACAAATCCTTGTCCTTTGCCCTTCCAGTGGGACCCCACAATCAACTCACCAGCACACGATCTCCAAGCCGTAAGTCCTTCTCCCCTTTTTTCACAGACCCACTGTCCGAGAGGTTTGATCCAGACTCGTTGCCCGTCTTCATGGCRCTGTTCAGGACACTCTCCCGCAGCGGGATCACGCGAGTGGACAGAGGTGGTGTRGCTGTCCCCGAGTGCAGTGACAAGTTCTGTGCTGTCAGGGAGTCCACGGAGGGGGCGTCGCTCCCTGAGCCCTCAGCCACCGGCTGCCGTGTCAGCTTGGACGGTCGTGTAAAAATCCCCTGCAGCGGCTGGCACTCGAAGTAGCGCACTCCTCCGACAGAGCCATCGTTCTTACCCACTGGGTCATCYAGAACAACTCCTGCCCACTGACCCGGAGCAAATTGCGTCTCTCCAAGGTACTGGATCATGCCTGGCTTYACTCCATTCACCCAGACACGTTCGCCCACCACAAAGTCTCCCAAGAAATCATCGCCCACCTCGGCAACCTTTGAACCCGACTTCTCGGCACTGGTGGTGGATGCAGTACCCTGCTTGTGCAAAGGTGAGCCTGTGAATCAAGGAAAAAGAGGTTTTGGTATGAGGAGAAATCCTAGAAGGAAGCCAAAACATCAGAAAAAAAAAGCATTTGCAGAAAGGAAACATCTGGGACAACAATTTAGATTGTCGGTTTACACCCTGTGAAGATTAAACCTGAGTGACCCCATTACTTACACACCTTCCTCAGCAGGAAAGCAATCTGTACAGAATCTCCATCTGCTGCCCAGTTTCTGCAGGTCTCAAGTAGAACATAAAGAAATAACCCCATGTCTTCATCCCCTTTTACAATACTGACCCACCCCAGCCCCTTCACTAACCCAGAGGGGCTGCACTAGTGTGGATAAGCTCAAAAGCACAGGAGTGGTGGCAAGTGCTTAAGGAACAAAAGGAGCCCAAAGAACTGCTGCTTTGCAGAAACTTGCCAGTCATCCTTTTACCCAAAAAAATACGTTAAAAAAATATGTATTAAAAAAAAGGTGAGGCACTGATGTTTTAGTACTTAGCACAATAAGAATCCCACTGAGTGTCCCACCAAGGACACTAACAGCTCCTATGGGACCACACAGCTGTCTCCACAAATTCCTCAGTTTTCCCAGCTGCTGCTGGGACCTTTRCTGGAACAAACAGAGCAGCGAGCAAATACCTGGGGTATGTTCAATATAAACAGCATCTCTCTAAAGAGGAAGCATCTACAAACCTTCATGCACGGCCTGCTAGGGCCACACGATGTACATGGAACTYAATATAACCAGCAACAAAGAGTACCCTTATTCCAAGATCAGTCTTCCAGCAATGCTCTCCTGCCTGGGGAAGGAAAACTGCAGGTGATGCTGGAATTCACTGTCCTTCTCACACTCTCCAGCAAAGTCTCGATCAGCCACTCTCCATAATACACAAGGGAACCCTTAAATATGTGACAGGTGCCTGAATGGGAAGAGGGTCAACCCAAGCAAACAAGACAGCAGTGACCCAACTCTTGCTGACCCCATTGTCAAACCCTCCTATCACAAACTTSGGGCTTTCCACCTGGGCCCTGGGGCAACAAATGACAAGGACATATAAGCATCATTAAAACTCCCTGAAGGTTAAAGGGGGATGTTGAGTAAAGCCCCCCAAAAAACCACAACAGAAACTGAGGAAATAAGCTTGAAAAATAAGATCCAGCAAGTCACATACCATGGACTTTCAGCCACCCTCAGCTCTCAGCAGCCCTGAGGTCTCAAGTGTGGTTCTCCCACACAGCTGGTGTAAAGGTTGTGTGCAGGAGACCTGGTCCCACATATCCTGTGCTCAAAGCTGCCTGGACTCTTCAGCCAAACTTTCAGCTGAAATTTCTGGGTGCCACCAACCAGAAAAGTCTAGAGCACACACAGGAAGAAATTTTTGTTTGCTGCCAGAGAAGACTGACAGAGGACACCCTGAGCAGCTGCAGAGACAAAGCCAAACATGAGTGCTTATGTGTAACGAACTGTGAAACTTGTTCAGCCTCAGCCATCACTGTGGCTCAGTCCACAACACTTCTACAGCTCTTTCACAAGTAATGGGCCTGACAGATCAGGCTTAGCTCCTAGAAAGCCTGAAAAACATAAAAGCCCTCAAAGCAACATACTTCAAAGCTTTGCTATAGGTCTAGCAAAGAGGAAAGAAAAAGAGCACCCAGGTAATAGCATGAAGAACTTAGTTCCTGCTAAATCATATATGTTGAGAGGGATCATATATGTTGATTTTGACACTTTGGTTCTCATTAGACTCCAGAATCAACACATGACAAATTTCTATGGCCACTAGTTTGGGGGCCATGGAAGTCAGGAGTACTTCTGCCCAGTCTGAGCCTAATCTGAAAAATAAGCAATCAGCAGTTAAGGTGTGATTGTACAAACCCCTCTCATGAACACAAGTGTCTCCAGCCAACTCACTGGGCTCAGTGGGGTGGAGCTGGAACAACTCCTGAGAAAATCAGCCAAAGGGGACATGCACACCACAATWCATGGGGAATGTTCGAGAAAATCCCATGATGGGCACAGGAAGAACAGCAAATACTGTCCCCAACTGTGTGAATACTATTCCCAACTGAAAATGTTGATTGCAATGGAGACCAGGGAGCTCCCAGCAGAGCTCAGCCAACTCCCARGGAGAACTTGCTCCTGGCTTCTGGGCCCTGCATTGAATGTTTCCTCAACCTCACATGTTCTTCATTCAGTTTTGGTGGCTTTTGGGCAAATTTCCGGCATTCAAGCTTGTGTCACTCTCAGTTTTGTAAGACAATGCCCCAAAATGAGCTCCATCAGAGGGACAGAATTATATCCAAGAAACAGTTTCACCTTAAAAAAATTAAACCCAAAGACTATAAAGATGCTTAGAGCTGTTGATCTTTACAAAAGACTTTAAATAAAAAGAAGYGTGAAGGAAACAGGGCTCTATCCATCTGAGCTATAAAAAAAAAACCATAGGCAGAAAATAAGGCCACTATTGTCATTTCAATGCTTAATAGCACAAGACAGTAATTCAGCCACATTAGGAAGTTATATTTTATGAAAACTCTAAGTTAACCAACCAAAGCTGGCTACAGGGCTTTATCACCAACAAGGTGTGTGATAGGTAGGACAATAAATTAAATTAGAAACACAACTTACACCTTGTTTTCACGCTTGGCAGAGCACCCTAACACACCGAGCTTGTGCCACTGACTGTGCACATGTATGCACCATGTCAAGGACAGCCAAACTCAACCTATTGCACAAGGAATTATAAGCATGTAAAAATTGAGGGGCTCTGCAACTATATTGAAAAAAAAAAAACCAAAAAAAAACAAACAAAAAAAACCCCCTGTTTTTCTAGTCTTACTGGAGCCTGAGTTTCAGCATAGTTCTTGATTTTGGGTGTTAGTTAATGGTCAAAATAAAGGTCGCATTAACTCTCACAAGGACTTCTGCAATGTGGCTGGGATAAGCAAACCCTTCAGCAGCAAAGCTCAAGCAAAGAAAGGCAGAAAGGCTGCCCAAGGCTGAACAAACAATGCAGCAGGATTTAAAACCACATTTAGACTCACTATATTTCACTGCAAAAGCAAAAACCGTCAAAACTGACATGGACAGAGAAAAAAGTARAGAACAGTTCATCAGCTTCTTGGTACAACATTGTTTTTCCCCAAAAGCCAAAATTTTAGTGGAAATTTACTCATTCTTGCCCATTTTACATGCCTGTCTGATAGGCAGGTATGCTGAATTACAATCAATTACATTAATTATTGTAATTACAATAATTAAGTAATTACAATATCTCAGGAAAACAATTCCCATTCCAGGCTCCCAAGCAGTGCAGGCAGAAGCATCATTATTTTGGAGCATGAGGTGAATTATTCAAAAGTACAGGGTGTAAGCAAGGAACTGCCTGAACATTCACCTTCTTTATTATGAGCACAATGTAGAAACTTGTGTTTTACATGGCTTTCATTACCCACACATGAAATAATAGCCACAGAGCAGCTAACCTGTGCAGCAAGTTTTCAGAGAAGTTAAGTCACCATGATCAACCTGAACTCATTTCTCTTGGCTTTACATCTATGGATCCATTTACTAGATAGTCAGATAGCTTCCAGAGTAGTCCAAATAGAGTAAGCTCTGATCCTCCCAGGTAGATATCTGGTCACCAGCCTTTCAGAAGGCAAATGGTAGCAATGAGTAACTTGACTTCAATCCCATGAGTATCTTAGGATAGCCCAAAACTGAGATCAGCTGATTGGACTGTTCTCAGAGACCTGACTTTGAGTCGTCACTCCCCAAATACCTCTTACAGTGGAAGAGAAAGCCACCCAAGAGGATTGCYGTGAAAGATTCCTGAGCTTTTCCAGCCTACAGTCACCTAAGGAGTTGGTCTATGTCTGTGTCACTTGGATTTACTCTTCTGAAGAAGAAAAGTCTTCTTGTTATAGTCAGACTCCCCAGATAAAGGCCAACAAGTTCMAAAAAAATCACTAAAAAACAAGTTCCAAGAAACAGCAGAACAACGRTACAGATCTCAGGTATGAAACTGAGAAGAGAAACATACCCAACAAACTGAGTATTTTCTACTCCAACCCTGCCAGTACCTGCTSATGCCAATCAAGAAGCCACAGGAACTCTCTAAATGCCACTTCTAGGCCTCTAACTCAGCAGCTCACCTGGAAGCCAGTGATGAGGAGAGCTCTTCCTGCTGGATCCAAGAGGATGCCCTGTGCAGCTCTGTCCAGCACARACCTCACTTGCTAGTCAGGACTATGACAGAAGCTCCTGTCTTCCTCCTCTTGCTGGGACCAGGCTCCAAGACACAACAAGCAGTGAGCAGGATCTCTTCCACTTGGCCTTTCCAACTTTACAACCCTATTGYGTTCATTGGCTGGCTCATTCTTATCGTATTAAATGGGCTTCCTGTAGGTCACAGCTTGCAGGGCTGAACAACAACTTGTAAAGTAAAGTCACACAGAACATCCAGGGGCCCATACCAACAGGCCACCACTACTTCAGAAACCAAATTCCTACCAGCCACGGGCTGGAGAGGCTAAAGGTTTAATTGAATTTTCAGCCTGATCACATGGCTGTTGTTACTGTATCAATGMAAGCCATGTGTCCAAAATCTCTGGAAGCACAAGGGCTTCTGCAGAAACGGCACAGACTTTCAGCTCTGGGAAACTGCTTCAGGAAGGAGTTCAGAGAAGCTTTGTACAGTACAGGAGCAAGAAATCCCCCCTCAAGAAAGCTCTGGAAACTAAAGCAGGAGGAAGAGAGCACTTACTCTGCAGCATCAGCAGGAACAGCCTTCTCTGCAGGATCCCTGACAAGATTCTCACCCTTGTCCTATGTTTAAGTTCCACTGAATCCACCCATTCCCTCACTCCCTCCCYGTCTTTCAATCTCCCACAGCACTCCAGTTGCTCATTTCTTATCRCCAGGCAATTAAAACAAAGGGGTGCGGAAACTTGATTCTAAAGGGGGGGATGGAGAGGAAGAGAAGAGCAGTTTAGCATGAGAAGCA